GTATCGTCGGCAAACTTGCTGAGGGAGCACTCCAGCCCTTCATCCAGGTCGTTAATGAATAAGTTGAACAGGATCGGACCGAAATTAATGTAAATTAATAGAAATTGTTAAATTAATTATTAATATAAAATTAATGTTAAATTAATTTTAATTTATTTATGTTTTACAGAGAGGCCTAAAATTATTAGCTATTAATTTTAATCTCAGTAGTTATCCAAGGCTCTCTCAAACATACACTGGCAAATGACTTATTGTTTCTAAAATGTTATTACATATATTCAGATGTTATTGCCATTCAGAACAAATAAAAGGTGGAACATTTGTTTGGGAAACAAAGACTTAGATGGCCCTAGATTCTGTGAGCAATCTAAGTTGTATCTGTGTATATGCCTCATGTTTTTTTATTGGCACAGTGCCGTGTTCTCTTTTCTGACCATTAGGAGTCACAGGAGTTTTCATCAAACCAGCCAAGCAGACAAATCTGCTCTGATTTTCCCTGTGTACAGTCCGCTGTGCTGCAGTCATATGTAATAATGTGCCGTGTTCTTAGGCTCTGGCTGTCAGGCAGCACCATTCACTATGGCACCTATTTGCCATTTCCTGTCAGAGTCACCTAAGAAAGCGTTTTTTTAACAAACTGCCTTGTCTGGCAATAATTTGTATGCCAAAAGTGATTTGTATATCCAGATGTCTAACACATTTGATAGTATTATTTCAGAGTCTTCTCTAGCAGCTGTTACCTCTGAATAGAGTTGTAAAGTTTTTCATTCTGTTTTTCTGTGTTATTCCTTATAGCCAAAGTTGACAGAGCTGCTAAAGAAATATGAAGTTCCAAAGGAGACTCTAAGCCATGTAAATGATGTCAGTGCAGCCAGAGAACTGAGGAAGCTGCAGAGGAAGATCCAGAGGATCGTGAAGGACTGGCTGGAACACTATGGACGTGCCCTCGATCAGCATGGTCAGGCAGCAGCTGGGGATGTGGTTTTACGAGCTAATTTCTATCTCAGTAGGTACCAGAGTAGACTAAATAGTCCTCTGCAAGTCGGCCCCAGACTGACCTTGGGAGAATCCAAACAGTGCTGSCTCCTGCACTGAAGCAGGCAGGAGGCAAAGGAGCAAGGGGCAGTGGCTGGGCAGCCCGGTGTGCCTGGGGCTGGTGGGTGCAGGCGCGGCAGGATGCTAGCGCGGCAAGTGCCTCTGCGACGGGCTCGAGCCTCGCCATCCTCCCATCACTTTGTGGGTCTGTGAGACATATGCAGGCTGAATAAAGAGCAGATTACAGGGCTGTTCCAGGGAGATTGCTGGGGACAACATTACCTCTCTGATTCCCTGCTTCCATGGGACTGCAGCATTTGTTAGACCATGGAAGCAGAGGGAGGAAGTTAGTTGGGAAAAGAGAGATAAAAAACATATCTGGTAGCTACCAGCTTATTTTGAAGGTTATTGCACTATATACTTTGCACTATGTACGTAAGCTGTAGCATTTAAATGTCCAGTAATATAAYCCACTGAAATTTCACACAGCTCCTGATAGCCTGAAAGATAGGCCCAGTTAATACTAACAGAGCAAAGCTAGTATTAACTTCTAATTTTGCAGAAGTTAATATAAGCTGGATTTCAGTCTTGAATGATATGGAATTGACCTACATACCTGGCACTTGGCACATTATGTGAATCACTCTCTGAGTACTTCACACAGAACGTCTCATTCATCATCACAAAAGTAAGCTGAAAGGAATGTGCTGGCTGGTTCATTACAACTGGCACTGCCTGAATTCTTTCTTTTCTGGTTAGTTACTAAGAGATATCTTCCACGTATTACAGTCGTCTTGTGGGAAAGAAGATTTGAGCTTCACCATGTTCCTTAGGGAGGATTCAGTTTCCCTCTCCTGTCTTGCTGACATCATTGTCAACATTTTTGATTTTTCCTATGACTTGCAGTTTAGCCACCAGAAAAACCTGCCAGTCTGCCAATTAGTTATACCTAGCCCAGCAATCCTGAGCTGGTTTGAGAAGCAAGAGGCAGGTGTAAAAGAACGAAGATCAGCTCTATGATCTGATGAATGATTTAAGAAATTGGSCTTAACTTTCACTATTGTTTTTCTGGTTCAGATTTCACAGCAGACTAGTTACATTTGTAAGCACATGAACACCATCAGTTACCAAATCAGGACTGAGTTTGTCCCTGACTTCAGCGCTTGTATTTCAGGAATTGACTCCACRCACACTAAGAAGATGTTTGACTTTCCTCTGCGATTCATAAAGAAATGCAAAATCCAGTCTGCAGATGCTCTCTCATTTACCTCAGTCATGCAGAGGTCACAAGGGAAGAGAAAGCAGAACAGCCAAGCTCCCAGGTCAGAGGGTCCTCTCCTCCTAGATCAATTGCAGTCAGCTTCTCCTTACAACATGTAGCAGGAACCAAGCTCTTATAATATATTTAATTATAATAATAGTATCTTATAATATTTAATAATAATATATTTTACAAGAGTAATATACTTTTTTAAAAAATCAGTCATATTTGTGATAGCAGCATCTAAGAAACTCAGGGAGTAATATCTCCCTATACAAGCATGTACAGAGATGCAAACCCTGGGTTTTTGGTAATCAAAAGGTCTGTTCTTCCAAGTGTCTCCAGCTGCCAACTTTAACATACAGAAAACTTCAGCTTTCCACTTGCTTTCTAAGATTTTGCTTAGAGTCATAGTTATGAACCCTCTTTCCCTTTTTGAAAATGTGTAAGAGAAGTCAGAGAAATTGATGGAGAGAATATTGTTTTCAGTATCTTTCCTGAGTCCTCTTTAAGTTATTCCCCGAAACCCATCCATTTCTTGCTAATTCAGAACTCTTTCACTACTTTTTCTGTTACCATCTTCTACAGGGCTTCTGATTTAATAGCCAGCAATACCAATGCAGAGAAACCACATATGGCTGCCTTCCATTTAAGTAAACGGAGGAATGTACAGAACATCAGGGATTCAAGGTAAGRAAATCTGAGCTGAGGCTGGACAGCGATGGCTCTAGGATAAACATCAATGGTAGTAGTTCGCTAGCAGTTCGTTTTTGGACATGGTTAAGTGTTTCACCCGTGTCTCCATGTTTTTACAAGATTGCATGGGGTGCATTTCATCTGTATCAAAAATGGTGGCTTCTAAAACCCAAGTAATCCACAACTGTCATTCATGCTGTGCCTGCAATTTCTCATAACAGCAGAATGAGGTGATGTCATTTCTTACTGTGTATTTGGTGGTCGAGATTCCATTGTGTCCTTGAGGCAAGCACCTTTTGCACAACTGAGTAGYGACAGTGATTTTATAAGCTCAGCCATGTCCAAAAAGGGGCAAAAGAAAAGGAATTAAGTGCTTCTAAGTCTGTAGGGCTACTCTGTAGCTTGACTAACAATCTAAAAATATCATAAATCTCAAGTATATTCTTGCTCCTCTCATGCTGGAATTATAATCTTATTTTACACATATGTGTAGTTAAAAACCAAAATTATGCATATTCTCTTGCTTGATCTTTTTCCTGACCCATTTACTTTAGATTTATTTATTTCCTCTTCTCCATGTAGCACAAGAAACCTGGAGCAAACATCTAATTCAGGGCAGTGATTCTCAGAACTCCCTCTGTTTTGATGTTTTTCTTTTCACGCAGCCGTTTCAGTATTGATCCAACATCCTTGAACTCAGAARCAATCTTTTCATTAGCTTCAGGAGGCCTCGGGGAAGGCCTGGGAACTTGAATTTTTTGTTTGTTTGTTTGTTTGTCTTGACCTTTCGTAGGATTTGTGTTTACTGTGAGGAAATATTTAGTGTTCTAAAGATACCATCAGCCAGAGCAGCGTGACAGGTTCTTATTGAGGAAATTACAGAAAGTCTTCCCTGGAGATGTGAAGATAAGGCTCTGGAACTTGGCACTTCTGCTTTGGGCTTCTTCTGGATCAGAGAAACCTACAGAATCTGCCCCCCACCAAAAAAAGCCAAAGGACTTCTCAAACAAGTGAATCTTCACAACACTTGTTTGTGGAAGTCAAATAGCACAACGCACAGAGCTTGCATAGATGAATACAAAATGAATATACTACAATCAGAATGAATATACTACAGTCAGCTGGGAAAGATGAGATAATGCAGCCTTTGGAGTCTGCTCGCAGCCGTTACCAAAGCCTGCCTGGCCAGCTCACCTGGTTACAGCACTGCCCTCTCTCCTTCTCTGCTGGGCTGCACGAGCTGTGCTTTGCAGGAGCCGGGCACTTSGGCAGCCCTCATGCTTTTGTCAGACCTTGAGAAGCACCTGATACAGCAAAATGGCAGCAGGCATGAGATAACAGCAGTTCAGCCTGGGCCTGTCATTTGTAGACACCTTTTTAAATGATGCTTCAAAGCATACTTCATTTATTGAACAATGTAGCTTACCAGCACTTTTGTATTTTCTTGCCCTCACAACAGGTTCAAGTCCCAGACTGCTTGTCCTGCTGTTCTTCGGAGAATTATGATGGGGGAGGAAGGGAAGACATGCARATGTAGCAATCGTAAGATGCCCCATGTGTCAGACCTGGAGTACGACCACCTCATTAACAACCAGATGCCCTCCAAGGAGCAGATCATAGTGATCTGCGTCTCTTCTTCATTACAAATGATCAACGATCCTAGTGAAGATGAATTAGAGCAGCTCTATGAAAGAAAAAACAAGAACAGAAGTATGCCCTGTGCTCAGGTTGGTTTCATCAGGCGTTAGATAAAAATTTTATATCACRTGGTTGAAACCTTACAGAGTCTTTCTGGAAATTTTTCTGTTTATCTGGTTGCTAAAATAATTGGTGAAAAGTGGTCTCACCAGAAATGTCCAACAAGCACAATCTCTAAAATTGTGTTCCACAGGAGATCTAAATATTAAAAAAAAAAAAGTTTCAAAATCAAATAAAATCTAGAAATGTTAGCGTTTCCTACAAAACAAATTGTTTCAAAAATGTTTCTGAAAAATAGTAGTATTTGTTTACATATTTTTGAAGATAAACAGAGCCAAATGATTGACTCCAAATTCTCTTTTGATATAGAACAAGGACTTCAAATCTTGGTTCATAAAAAGAGCAGAGTTGAGTCTTGAAGGTCTTTCTAGCTTTGTAGCACAGTACCAATGAAGGCATCAAAATACCTCCTTTACTTTTCTATTTGTCTTTTGTTTATTCCCAGAGAAACTGATCTTGAGGCAGTTATTCTATATGTGGTTTGCATTTGAAAAAGTTAACATAGAAGGAGTGAAATTTTGGCCTTCTTGAAGTCTTTGGGAAAACGCCTGTGCTTCCTGGGGCTGTATTTGACCTTTGTTCGCTAATGGCAGGAACACAAGTCTTTTTTTTTTTTTTTTCTGGGCATTATGAGAAACCCATAGAAAGGCTGCACAGTGACCAGCTACTACCACTATTCTCATAACAGTGAAATCTAGTTTAATAAATCAGAGAAACTGTTTCTCTGAAGAAGAGGTAGATACACCACAAAGAGAAATCCAGAAAACTGGAAACTCCTGTCACCAAACCTATTGTGTGAAGAACCATTGCTCCCTCCTCTAAAAGCGAAAGATAATTAAGTTCTTAAGGGCTTGTTTAGAAGGAATGCTATTAGCCAAGTTGTCAGACACAATTTTCCACCTACTTATGTAATTATGCTTCCTTTGTTGCCTCAGAGTTGTCTGGATTCCTTTCGCCTCCTCAAATACGACATCAGCTCTGCAGATGCATATACGGATCATAAAGGTTCTTTACTGGTGGAGAGACACAACGTAGCTCCTGGCATGTTCTTGGTACGTGAAAACTCTTATAACCTGTTATTAACTTCTTGTGCTCTTTGTGTGATCTGGTTGCAAATGATTGACTTTGGGCTTGACACATCTTGTCTGTTTGGACAACCAGAGAGCTTCTCTCCTCAGAAGTGCAGACATTGTCACAGCAGCCCAGCTCTCCACCATCTATTAACAGTTCAGGACTATAGGTGCATCAGGCCATTGTCACCCCTCCTTCCAAGCAGCAAGGAGCTACTTGCCACAACACAAGAGAAGAAAGATGGTTTCTTCTTTTGGACTTCAGTGTTGTATCTGTCTCTCTGTGCTAATCTAAACACACCTAAATCTAAATTTAATTTAAACACATTTCTGCTTCATCTGTGGCAAAAAAAAGTTCTGAMGCATATAACACAACAGTATGTTTCAGTCTTTAAGAAAAGAAAAAAGCTCCACTTCTCCAAAGTTCTGAAAAGCAGCCTCTGCAAATCAGGAAGACATCTATGGTGTAGTATACACTGATGCCAGTTGTAGGCACCTACCTAGATTTTGTATGTGGTCTGAAAGTATTTGACTGTCTGGCAGGAGATGCATTTGTCTTTCATAGGTGATTTATTCTATTAAAGTTTTGGATACAAGGTGCACGTTTCATATCTTGTAATATAATAAAGTTGTAATACTGTGAGGAAAAGAGGATTCCTCTGATCTTGTTCACCTGGGCAGCCAAGAGCAGTTACTGACCTAGAAAAAGTAGAATCTTCTGTTGCATCTTACAGAGTGTTGTTACAATCAGATTGTAATAATCTTCACATCTTTTCATGAACACCACCATAAATACTGTTTTTCCTGGTTATTTCAGTTACTTTCTTCCCAGTAGGAGAGAGCTTCTACTAATAAGTCTTTGTGGTTATTTCTTTGTTCACTTCCTAATAATGGTGAGGAAAAAGTGGACTTCCTGGTTTTGYTTACAGAACATTTTTAGCAATGGCCATGGCATTAGATCAGAGGGCCCTTCAGGTATCCTCTTATCCCAGCTACTGCAAAATTGAGAGTATTTCCATCAGTTTAGAGCTGTGTATTCCCACAGAGAGAAAAACATTGCTGTGTGAGGACACCCATCTGTGATCAGCTTTTCTGTCCACTGGGGGCCACTAGCAGTCTATACGACAGTACTTAGCCATGTGTAACACCACAGACTTGCATATCTGAAGAAGATAAAACTTTTAATCACTCAGCTTCTTTTTTTTCCTGGTAATGTTAACACTTTTTACCTCTCTAATGAAAAATAATATGAAGAAATAGGAAAAGCAAAATGAAGAAAAAATAAAACTCCTTCCATGCCCCCCCCAAATACTACCCTTTTCTTATAAAGCCAATGGAAACAAAGTGGGAAAATCTCAGTAAACTACACAATGAACTGGCAGCCCCTCTTAGAAAAAGAAACATGCCACAGTATAAATGATCCACAGTTGATAAGAATGATCACTAAGAGCTCTGAGGAACCGTTAGCCAGATACAGAGGTCGCCTTGATTCTGTTCCATGTCACTTTTTTGCATACCCATGTAGAAACAATTAATTATATTTGAAAGAAAAATCAGGATTCCAGGTAGTACTTTATGGCTGATGAACTCATTAGAGAACAGATAAAAAGCTTATTTTGTTTTAAAGATCATTTAGAGACATTATATGGTATATATGCAGAAATTTCTCCTCCTCCTCTTTTTTTTTTTTTTTTTTTTTTTTTTTTGTATGTAACTTCATTACTACCAAGATGAGCCATGAATGTAAGATCCATTTTCAGGTCAGTGCTCAGATACAGATAGTTGTCTCTCTGCTGACAAATAATTGGTCCAAACAAACAAAAAGCCCCAAGGATGAATCTGTTTCACCTGATAAAAAGCTGTAAAACCTTTCTAATGATATTGGACAACAAGCATCAATCAGATGGGGCCTTTGATGTTTCCAGGGAAGTGTTCAGCCTATCCTCAAGCAATTCCACCAAGATACACCCAGTTGCCACCCTGCTCAGCCAGAACAGTCTAATTCACCAGAAAGACCAGGAGCAATTTAGCAGTTTCACTGGACTGACTTTGAAGAAGACTTGACCAAAGCCACACTGCAGGAGCAGTGACTYTACCGACCAGAGGGTGCTATGGAAAGCTGCCAAATGTAGCAAATGTGGTTTGGTGCCTTGCAAGGACCAGGAGCAGGATAAGTTTTCAAATGCAGCTCGACCTGAAGTCACAGACTGAAAATGCAACATTCTTGTATAGTCATTTCCAGAGAAGCTCAAAAGCAAATACTAATCATTCATATAGAAACAAATATAGCAACAAAAATGGACACAACAGCTCTTGATGCTTAAATAAGAGACCTAGGACTCATCTGTTGATATAGCTCTGAAAACTTGTGCTCGGTGCCTTGCAGTGGTCATAATATAAACAGAATATTAGTGAAAGCATAAAGAAGAGAAGAGGAAACATTCAGAGGAAGCATTCCTGTGGTTCTGGAACACAGAAATTCTCCAAAAAGAATATCCCACAAAATGGCACTGTATAGAAGAAGGAACTAACTGGGGTAGGTTAATAAGAGAACTAAAGTGAAAGCTTCCCAGGACAGAAGATGGTGTGGCAAAGGAGTAAAAAATGATTATTCATTGTTTCTTAAAACACAAGAGTGATTGGGCGCCAATGATGAGATCAAGCAGCAGATTTAAGGCAAATGGAAATTCTTTTTCTCACATCATTAAATTGTTGAACTCTTTGCTTCAGGATGTTGTGGAGGCCAAAAAATAAGTGCACTCAAAAGAATTAGATACATTCTTGGAGGCTAACTCCATTGGCAGCTCTGAGATGTGATAGTCTAGCCAGAGTTTTGGTTAAGGAAATCCCTGAATTCCCTTCTGCTCATGGCTGGTATGGGTGACAAGGAACAGGACTGTCCCACAAATGTCCTGCTTCTTCCACTCCTCTTCCTCCTCCTCCTCCTCCCAGCATATCAGCTAGCGGCCATTTGCCATGACCCCAGCATCCTGGGTGGTATAACCCTGTGCAGCTGCTCTTAACATTGTTACAGGCAAGGCTTTAGCTCACATACAACTTTAACGAAGGATTAGCAAGAGAAAAAATGCAGAATTCATGAGAAGAAGGTTCACTGCCTCAAGAACCACCTTCAATACTTATAGTAAATATTTTAATTTGGTATATATTTTAATTTGTAAGGCTTCAGTAAAGCAAAATTACTGTTCATAGGAAGAGGTGGTGTCTTTCAAACTCTGCAGAGGTAGAATTGAGAATTTACTTAATATTACGTGTTTTTTTCAAGGCAGATACTAATTTCTTCTGGGCCAGCAGCCTTGGGGATTTCCTTAGATAATTGTGAAAAAAATCTTCAAAATGAAGCACAGTTCTTGCTCACTGTCTGATGAGTCAAAAGCTTTTGCATAGGAACTTCTAAGGGCAGAATCTATCCTTAATTTCCTACTGATATAACAATTGTTCAGTTAAATAAATACAAGTGTGTTCAAGAATATATTTTTTAAAAGACTTAAGTTTTAATCAACTTTTTAGGCAAGAAGGAAATGCTGCATGATGTTAAACAYGTGCTTTTAGGCAGCCTTCTCTATAGCCTTTTAGATGCCTGGAGGAAGTCATTTCACAGACGCGCGACAGTAACGCGGGTGCCCCCAGGGGCAGCTGCTTCTCTCTGATCATGGCAAGTACTTCCTGCCATATGGCCAGGCCTCCCCTCAGCCACCCCCAGGAATGATCCGATCCATGGGCAGAGCTGGATTCCTGTGCCGGGAAAACGTTGGAGAGCTGYGTGCTGCAGGGGCAGCACGAGGAAGGGAACAGACTCTTTTAGCTTCTTTGCAAAAAACCATGTCTTTTCAAAAGCATTATGCTGAGCTGAAAAAAAATATACACAAACATTCCTGCTGTTCATTTTTCTTTCCCATGGGATTTTCATTCCTCTTATTCCCTAGGTAGGTGCCTTTTTTTCTGTGCAATTTACAAATTCATAATCGTACATTATTTATGAAGATCTTGCTAGGACAACTAACAGTAGCAGAGCCTGGTGTGTGCACACACATTCACACCCGCAAACACACACTGCTGGAACACTGTCACATTCCAATTTAGGGATGAACTTAAACCTATATGTTTGCTTTTATCTGTCAGTGCTCTGCTATATGCTGTGCTGGTTAAATGCCATGTCAGCCAGCTGAGGAGGCTGGGAAGGGTGGCTGCATTTCTACATTTATAACCGTCTCTGCAGGACACAGGCAAGGCAGCGGGTTTTGACTTTAGCCCCTCAGTCTGGATTCTCCCTTTATCCCAGGGAACATGAGCAAATGTAACCAGCCTCTGCAGCAAGAGCCTGCCCATCTTGCTTGTGCCACTGGTGACCTTCTGCTAGGTGTCAAACAGGAACAAGTGCCCCAGATGAGAGAGAAAACTAGAGGAAGAAAAATAAAGAAGAAACAAAGTAGAAACAGGACCAAACTGACTCTTATCAATACCAGCTGGATATACGACTACTGGTGAAATTAAAGGAAACCTAAAAGTAGAGCGCCATGCATAGATGGAAATCCTAGCATGAAGTGTAGGAGAACCTGCATATTCCACCTCGGCATGTGCACATGCAGCACAGCTCCAGGAACACCAGTTCGTGCTGAACCTCTCCCACACTCCTGCATGCTCCCACRTGCCCAGCCAGAGTTCTGGGATTCGAGTTTGAGATGGGAGAAGCAACACAGATTCTGGGAAATCCACCAGCAACTTGGGTATTGCTGTTCCCAGATGCCATGGATCGAAAGCACTGACACAGCGTAATGATAAGGGGCAGGAAACATTTCCAAGTTACACTGATCACTTGTGTGAGAAACTTCACAGATGAGGCTACTGTGATTCTTGTCCCTTGGCAAGGGCCATACCGCCCTGAAAATCTGAGGGAAAACCTTCCAGCTCATCTCAAGATCCAAACATTTTAAAGGAAGCCTGGATTCTGTAACTGCATTTGCCCTGCAGCTGACTAAAGCCCTGCCAACTCCTTAAGTGCAATCATTACGATACAAGCTGAACAGTTTGAGCTGATTCTACAGCTCATCAACCACATGAAAGGAATTAATTCTATTTCAGGCCATTCATTGAGTTTGGACTTCTTCAGATTCAAGAGCTGAATGAGCTGTTCCCCTGGGAATAGCATGCAGAATTATTTCTGCCATTTTCTGCTGCAGATAATCGAGATGACCATGTGTTTAAGTAAGTCATTTTTTTCTCCAGTAAATATAATGCTTAGGAAATGAGCCCAGGATGTGGATTCCTCTATTTATGCACAGAGGTCAAGGACTATCCAAAATGCTTGCACTGTTTTCTCTTTCTTAAAAGCTCTTCCAGGCTGCCCATAAGCAGGAATTCACAGGACAGTCGATCTCTGCACTGATGCTGCTTCTTTGGCTAAGGATGCCTGTCTGGCCAGTGCGTGCTGGTGATTTCACTGTTTGCGTATTAACAATTCCATTGTTCATTATCTCTTTCCATATTATTCAGCTGAGGAGCCATCAGACAAGACCAGCTCTTTGCCACTGCCACTTCTGTGTTTGGTTAGTCCCTTTAGTCAGGCAGACCTCCTGCAATGGTAGTTCTTCATTCTTTCACTGTCCAGGAACAGCCTCTCTTGATGTCTAATGTGCTCTCGGAGACTCTCAGTGGTAGAGAAGCCCCCATCTCTGTACAAAATATAACCTAATGCTTTATACTCACATTGTTTGATAGCTTTTCTTATTTGTTTTCTGTTCCTACAGCTAAAGCCCATTACTTTCTTTACATAGATAAAGAAAATAGACTGTTCTTCTCTTTCTGGGGCAGGTCATATAAAAATCTCTCTGTCCCTTCTGTCTCCCATAACTATAATCCCACACTCCACTTCTGTGTATTAAATTAATACAGTTCATACCACCTTTCTTTCTGGGGCATATTTTTTGAGTTCTGTTCATTCCCTTGCTTTCCTGCAGATTCTTTCTGGCTGAGGAGCACCTGGACACTCCAGCACCACTGAGCTTACAAGTCAGACTTCATATTTCACAGGTCAAATTCCTGTTTGTACATCCCACAGTGATGTAAAAGTTGTATGTCACCCTCAGCACAGACAATCCGTAACCTGAAAAGAACATTTCAACAATCTTGTTTGAAGACAACCAGCCCAGGAAGGATGGTATTACAAAATCCAAATGGATAAGAAAGCTTCCATTTAATGTATTTAAATACTGGAGATTCAATTTAAGGGAACTTTAATGTGGCCAAATCTTTTTTTTTTTCTCTTCTGTATCCAAATGCATATACATATGACCATGCTGAGTTGCATCTCTAAGGGATAGTCTGAATCAATAGAATTGTTTCCATACATGAACATGGAAAAAATGATCATCTGTGTATATTCCTAGGCGGAAGGAAGAAGGAAATTAACCCAGAGAATGATTGTCTGAGTCAAAAAAAAAAAAAAAGTCGGACGAAAAGAATTTCTGATGACTCAAAAGACAGCCCTGCATTACTCCTTAGTTGGGTGGAAGGATGCAGAAAGGGAAAGCATGGGCTCAACTGCCATCACCACCTCTGCAGATCCTTTAACGCCTGTGCTTGGTACCTAAAATTCACCCGTCTCCAGAATGTTAAAAGTTAAAAGACTCACTATATGTTCTGACATATTCCTGCTCTATGTGCAGAATGTTATTAGCATTAAAGTTCCTCTTTGACCTTTCACCTTTCTATTTGGCAGAATTAGTCAGGGAGAAGAAAATACTCTTCTTTGCCCTGGCTTGCTAGTTACGACTCCCTCAAGAATTTCAGTTTGAGGCCGTTTGCCAGAACTATGTTTAGCACCGAGCAGAAAGAACATTTCCCCCCTCAAAATGCCGCCATCCAAATTTATGTCTTGGCCTTCACCAAAGATGCAATTTTTTTAAGGCTTTGGATTAAATTTACCCCATATAGGGCTAAATGAACTTTGCTCTATCTGTTTAGGTTGAGAAAAAAATGCCTTTGSTGCTAATGCATAATTTTATTCTATAAAGTGGACTGAGCTAAGACAGATGCCCTATAGAAGATAAAATTCTTATTCCTGCCAGAAGATAGCCAGCCTCGAAAGTCACATTGCACCAAAGGCCTTCAGAGGAGTGAGAGCAATTTGAAAAGCACTGAGTGGTAACATTGATGCAATATGCACGCAAAGCAAAGATACAAGCGTGTCCCAACTTCCTGCTTGGAGGCACAGACTGATTGCTTGTGCTGTGGGAAAACATGCAATTCCTCCGTGTCCTCATGCCACAGAATCAGCCAGGTGACTTGCAATTAAAAGGGCTACTTTTATCCAAGAGGAATGGTGATTGCCAGAGGCAGCCCACTGCCTTGTATTCCTTCAGACATGTTTCAGTGCATTCTCTACTAATGCATGAGATCATCTTCAATGTACACTTATCCAGCCCTTCTGTCAGCCTGTTCATTTCGTTCAGTTATGGAAAACGTCTGTGTCAGAGAAGGTCACTGTTATTTATGAACAACTTCCAAAGCACCCTGGGGGCAATGCTGCCGTGGCAGAAGGTTACCCCCTGTGTACGGGTTGCAGTTTGCAGCATTAGCCGTGCAGAAAGAGAGCCAAAGCTCCGAAAATTGGACCATAGCTCCTATATATCTCATTTCAGCAGTGGAGCGATGCCTGTGGTAAATGGGCCCAGTATGACAGGAGTATTGTGTGTTCCTTCCATATCAGTTTGGTAGTGAAAGACACTTAAATTCAAGCCCGAGGGCTTGTAATTTAGGTATGTGTATAAAGAACTCAAAGACTGCAGTAGACCAGAGAACAGTGACAAAATGCGTAATGGTGCTCATGTCTGAAAAAAATCCCGTTCATCACTTCCAGTTCCACACTCATATGAGCGTCTCTCTTCACAACAGCTTCAGCACACACAGGTGTGTAGAGTAATCACAGAATCACAGAATCACAGAATCACAGAATGGTTACGGTTGGAAGGGACCTTTGGAGATCATCTAGTCCAGCCTTCCCGCTCAAGCAGGGACACCCAGAGCATGTGGCATAGGGTGGCATCCAGGTGGGTTTTGAAGACCTCCAGAGAAGATAAGGCAAACTACTAGACCAAAAGAAGAATGTTTCACAGTGGAGTAAACAGTGCCATCGCAATAGCCTTTACCTATAAAACTGGTATAAAATGCTTGACATAAAATGTCTTTTTTCCCTCTCTCTGTTTCCCACAGACAAAGCACAGTTCTACATCACGTTCATTACTGGTTACACTGCAGACAAATATATCTTGGTAAGATGCAGACAATTTAGTGGTCCCCTGGATTTCCTTCTGGTGAATACATCCTTTGTTACTTAAATATGCATTACCCTGAGTCTTGACTTGGAGTCCTGCATGCTGAGAACTTCCATGAAATAAGCCAGATGTTTCTAATTGTGTAACACTGGGAACATCCCACAACCCAAGCAGCTTTGGATAGGACATCAGCTTCAATGATTCTTACAGCTTGAAATTCAGTGAGGCCAATTCTCCCTTAAACAAAGGTCCCTTGACGCTGCCAGAACACAGGCCTTCATGTCAGTGAGAATCTGCCCCAACAACTCACCACTTTGCTACTGACAGAGAAAAAGTTGAGAATACTCTCACCTTCTTTCTTCTTAAATATAGGATTTCAACAGGCTTTTCCTCAAGTCTTCATTTTGAGATCATCCATGTGTTACATCCATGTGGAACAGACCTTGCAACTTGGGAAAAGAATCTACCTTTTCTTGAATTTGTTCTGGTAATACTGAGGCTGGGAACATGAAAAAACAAAAGGCTTAACCCAGCAAAGCCATGCAAACCCAACAGAAATACTCTAAAACTCCAGAAGGCCCCTGTGCTCTCAGTTGTGGAGATCCTACTGCAAAAGGCATCCCAGGTCTTTGAGACTTGCAGGTTCCAGAACAAAACTGGCTTCTAACTCACCTCTTCCACTGAGGCTGTCATGATACAAGAGAACCACCTCCGAATGCCAGCTTCAGAAAACACATGGATGTCATGTCTTGAACCGCATTTAATAATCAAAAACAAGCTCAAAACTGAGAAAATACATCTGAAAAATGTTTCTGTTTTTTCCTGAATGGCTCTGAATTAGCTTTAGCTTCCTATTTTACTCTTSCAGGGGGAGAAAATTGCTGAAGATTCAGATTTTGCCTGTGTTTTCAACCCTTAAGGCTTTTGAATGCCAGAATGAATTAATTCCTATCAATTTAAATTCATTAAATTACCTTAATGGYCTTCCTTCTCTAAACAGCTGTTTCCAAATGAGTTACACTATTCAGAAGAGGAAGGTTTATTTATAAAAGTTTAGACGTACAATATCCCATTTCTAACTCTCTTTGGAAAAGATAATTAAGAAAAAACTAAACTAAAGCAGTGGATGCAAWATTATAAAAAAAGTTCTTTCTATGCCAGCTTTATCTGTGTGTGTTCATCATCAAATGTGTATGGTGTGGTGGTGTTGTGATAGTAGTATTTGGTTGTYTGTGAAGCAGCAAGCAAAGTGCTACATTGTACACTTCCATATGCTGTGTTTTAAAATCTTGTGCATAAGGAACTAGAAAAGTATGATTATTTTATTTTTTAATTTCTTAATCAAATATTTTATTTACCAAAATCAGAAAATATGAAAGCTGCAAGCCATAGTGAGGTTGTAGTCAAGCCACCATTTTTTGTGTTGGTTCTTCAGCTTACAATCTTCATTTAGCATAAGCAGTCGTTCTGGTCAGTTCTATATTTTTTCTCTTTCCTTGACAGATGTACATTCAAGGAAAGCTGCTCTTTGCCAACTATATTTTCAATGGATACAGCAAATCAACTGAAGACCTTCAGAAACAAATAGCTACGACAAGGAGTGATTACCGCATGGGTTACTGTCTCCCGAGCAATTTCAGGTTCAGGTATTTTACTTTCAGTCATCCTGGTGTTTAATCACTTCATTAGGAGGCTTTTGGCTTCTTTGCTGAGTACTCGGAGGAACAAGAGCAGTGGTCTCCCCATCCTAGCAATGCTGTTTGTGGTGCATTCACAAGTTCTCCAGCCTGTGTGTTCCTTCCCGTCTCCTTCAGCAGTCAGGGCTGTATAGCCCCACCTCTGCTCAACTACAGACTCATTTTGAGCAAGAAGGAAAGAACAGGCAGAGATCCTGAGCACATCACCAATTTCCCTTTGTAAAAGGTCTGACTGAGACTTGGTTGTTTCAAGGGCTGCCATATTTGCCTTTTTGGCATCACCCMTGAAAACTAAAGCTCAAATGAACAGACCAATTGCTTAGTCTGGCTACTAACTTCTTCATTTAGTTCATAGCTACAGGGCAGAACTTCACCTGCRTGACCTGGGGAAAGAGCAGTGGAGGCTTCCACCCCTCCAGCTGCAGGCTGAGGTGCAGCCCTGGAAGGGCCCTTGCAGGCACTGCCACAGCTCCTGGCTCCGCACCAACTGCCAAAGCAGAGACAAGCAGAGCAGACAGGGCAAACAGCTGCAACTTTGGCAATGTATTTTATCACACAGCTTTTGGGCTCCATGTTATTATTGGTAATTTCCTGGTTCTGCAAAGCTGTACCCAAACCAGAGCTTCAGAGCGGCTGGTGTGAATGCAGAGGCCACGGTGCTGCGCTACTGATTTAACCGATCCATCTTGCAGGGCGTGAGGGTGATCTGGGAAGCTGCTCTTAGCAGCTGAGGAGCAGCTGAGCATCAGTGATAGCAAAGAGGATCACAGGCTGAAATGAAGCATGCAGCCTCTTGCAGGGTTGCTCCTGGCCAGCTTTGACAGGGCATGGAAGCTCTGCTCCTTTCTTGCATTTCTCTTAAGCATGTGAAACCAATAACTCACACTTATACTGAGCAATGGCAGAGGAAAGCACATCATTAAAGTTACTTTACTTCTCTGAATGAGGCTTGTCACTTCATTTGTACACACAAAAATTATGGGAGTAGTAGAGACGACAGGTAGAGAGGACAGGGATTAAATACAGCAAGCAATTAAGAGTAGCATTTTCAAAGAAGGCATTCATCATTGTCTTACCTTGTTTTCCTCAAGGTCAATGGCAAGTTCTCTTGATTGCAGTGAGGACATCCATGTGTAGGCTGAGTGCTTTTGTAAATTCTTCTGGGAGTGAYTGGAATGGCTGCACTAGCCCATGGAATTCCTTGTTTATGTCCTCTCTACGAGAATTTTCCTAAACCTTTCCCACTGTAGTAGCATCCCTAAAGCAACTTGCGCAAACAGGCCTCGGGAGCCATCTGTAACCGAGTTTTGTTGAACCTAAATCTAAATACTAACGAATTTCACATCTGGTCAGAGCTGGGGCTGTTGCTGTACACATGCATTTCTACTCCTTGCTACAACAGCACCATGACAAGAAATCCTTAGATGCTACCACTGGGACCCTCTTGAGGTTCTTTTATGCACCGGCTGTGAACACATGGGCAGGTGGAAAGCAGCCTTACTGACCAAGAGGACAATGAGAAGCTAAGAGAAGACCAAGGTGACATGACCATTTGCATGTGCTACTGTAACTGTATAGGTGGTGCTAATGAAACAATTAATTTTGTTATCCTCAAATAAGTGTCTTCTTACAGAGGGAACAGTTGGTTCGCCAAGCACTAATGTCCCTGATGTTTTCTCTCTTGCCAGCTGATCTCCCAAATTCAAACTCTGYCAGATATTCAGATCCTAGGTGCAGGGGCCTCCTCTGTCCCCTTTCTTTATTCTCCTGCCTTGGGCCCACTGTTTTGTTCCTCAGTTTTTTTCCTTCATCTACATGGCAGAGTTTTAGATGTTATATTTACTTAGGGGTTTGCAGCAGTTTTTCCCTGTTCCTTTTGCACTGGTGGAAAGCTGGCAGTTAATCCTAGTGATACTTTCTTTACTCGTGTGATTAGGTGGAACTTACCTAAACCAACCCCATCAATCAACATTATTTCCAGATCAAGGATGCCCCACGCATGTCCTTGCATTCAGAGTAGCCATTTATGTCATGAAGGCAGCGTCTTGCCTTCTTCTGTAAAGAAGGGCTTAACTGAAGGGGAAATTTTCTTCCCTCTTCACTGGCTCCTGCAGGCAGAGAGCAGCCGCCTTCCTCCTGGCTGTGACTGTGAGTACAGGGCCTGCTAAATGGCATCAAACACAGCCTGCCTTAGCAGGCTGTTGTAGCCAAAAAAAAGTTGCATTCCACTTTAATTCCACTTTAAATTAAAGCACTCAATAAAAGCAGATTTTCCTAGTACCCCAGGCAGAAAGTCCAGACAAAGGGATCATCTACCACATTTAAAGTTGTCAAATGTTTGCCCTTCAAAAGGGTAAATGTATAAAACAGCACGTGCTCTTCTTTGTGAGGAACCTGGAGGTTCTGCTCTTACTCCTGCTCATAGTTGATTGGAATTTGTCAATAAAAGAAAAAGCGTAGAACGAAGTTTGCAGAGAAGAATGTGGRAAGACCCCCTTCTAGAGTGCAGGAGCAGGCCAGGCAGATGCACACAGGTCTTCTAAAACACACAAGGCTGCTTACGGCAGCATCGTCAGTGCTTCCCACAGGGAGCCAAAAGAAAGCAAAGAAAGCACCATCACTGCAGCTGCATACGCAGCAGAACAAGGAGGTTTTAACTTCCCAAAGAATGCCCACAAAATGGTTTCCAATCACAACAGACAGCTGGCTTCAGGTATGAAAGAAGGTGACACCTTTCAGCTCTCTTTCTGTCCTCAGTTTATCACTGAGAGAAAATCGGGGCTTCTTCACTTTTTCAAATGTGAAACATGAGTTAAGGACAGAGACAGTGGAGAACTAAATGCCTTAAGTTGAAGGCCATATTTCTAGAAACAAGGGGCCTTTAGATTCCTCTTCCAAAGCTTTCCTTGAAACCTGCTCTCTCTTAAGTTTCTAAGCACACATCAGCAGAAACACCCATGCAAGGCACTTACAGATTTTATCTCTCAGTACATTTTTTTTCTGTACATTGTCCATTTATTTTTACAGGGAGCATCCCATGATCCCTCACACAATAGCTTTCTCACCGCCTTATAAAAGTATCCCTAAAAGTATGCAGTATGCTCCAAGCAGCCCTAGGGAAGCTCAAACCAGCAGAGGAGCAGTTGCAGTATTGCTGGTTATGTGTTGGGATCAGTGGAAGAGCCTCGTAAGAGAGCTGAAAGATGGACTTTTAACAGCTTGGGATGCCTCATATTACGTGTATGGGCATTACGAGTATTTGCTCTATAAAGTAGCACAGTAGAAAGATGAGAAGAACAGGTTTTAATGAGGGAAAGAAGAAATATAGCAGTACAGGCAATACAAAAAGTACACAATATAACACAAGGGTCTAATAAATTAGCAGAGAACTTGAGAAACAGGAAGAAAGTTTCAGACGGTTAAAGAAAGAGAATTGCTCAAAAAGATACAATCTTAAGTCTTCATAGATATATATATATATATACATTCTTGGCAGTATAGGAAACATGTACAGTTCTGACATAGAAAATACCGACTGTCTGAAGTGGTAGTATCACTTCCTGAAGAATATTTGCATGTGGTACATGAAGAATACACCCAGGCAATTTAGCAGTCAAAAACTCTCCAAGAAGTGAAGAAAATCATTACAGACCCTTCTCAGCAGACAGCCTTCCCTTTCTAACAGCAGCAATTGTATTCAGGATGAAAACAAAACAAAACRAACAAAAGAAGAACCAGACTAACCTGGAAATAGCCAAAAATATTTTCTACTCTACAACAAATTATGCACCAATTGGGCAGCAAAGTTCAACACATCGAAATACCCATGCCACACCAAGCTTCCCCCTGCCTTTCAAGCAAGATCAAATGATTTCCCCTCTTCCCCAGCCATATCCAAGCTTTTCTTCCCAAGGATATGAATTGGCAGGGATGAGCGAGTGATGCCTAAGTAAGAAGAGGGATCTTGTGTTACCTTTGATGCCAAGATAGAGGGAGCAGGAGGAGGGCTCTGCTACCAGGTATTGGTTACAGCTCCAACAGCAGCAGTCTGAGAACTATGGCGGAGCCACGACGCTTTGGCCAAAAGGAGCCCGTTTGCCCTGTTTGCCTTGTTATTTTAGTGCTTTTGAAGTGTTCAGAGCAAATCTGTTTCTCCAGAATCAGGCAGCGAGACAATTAAAAGATTTATCTCCTGCAGAGCACCCAAGATTAGATCCTAGGTCAAAAATCTACTGCTACCAGCCTCCTCAGCTGACACATCCTTCTCCCCCTAGACCTTTACGCAGATATTTGTGTGATTTYGGTAAGACTTTGCTATGAGATTTTGGTAAGAGTTGGTAATGTTTGCACATACAATACAGTCCTCTGAGAGACTAGGGGATGATGCAGCCAAAAGCACACAGCACATCGAAAAATGTTCTTTCTTCAGCCATTGCTTTTACAGACAAGGGCAAGTGGAGCTCAGTACTGAAGGGCTTGTATGAAAGAGCCACTAAAATATGCTGCAGAAACAAACTACTGCCAAGATTGCCTAAAATGAAATGCATCTCCAGGGGAAAGTGGAATTATAAACAAACTTCTCTATAAAAGATCAAACGCGGTGCTGATACAGCGCTTATGGTTCCCTCTAAAAGCATCCCCTCTCCCATTTAATCATTACTAATTGAAGGGCGGATAAATCATATCCGGGCCACCTAGGCAGCTGTCACAAATATGGGATAAGGAGGAAAAAACGATAGATACAGTAGCAAGGGATAGTTTTATTACAGACACTAAAGAATCAGAAAGATTTTCAAAGTGGCTAGAACTAAATTAGAGAGATCTGAAATGGAGAAACTCAGCCCCCTTCTTCCCCAAATAAAACATTCATTGTTCATCATCAAACATGATAAAGAAGACGTTAGGTCCTGATTCATATCCTTAGGAAAAARGAAGGAAGTAGAATGGGAAAATTATAAAAAGAGAAACAAAAGGGTCTGGAAAACGCCACAGGTGGGAAGTGCTGCGCGAGGAAACAGCAGAAGCCCATGGATACWAGCGGTTCGTGTCCCCCTGCTCTTACCTGTGTCTGACCCCAAACTGCTGCTGATCTGCAGCTGCTCAGGGCCCATCTCATCAGCACGGTGCTGAAAACGGTACCAGCAGCTGGCAGGTTGGGTGCCACGTGGCTGCCAGGCGGTGACCAAGATGAAYGTGGGGGGCTTTGCCCTGTGCAAGGAGCTTTTGCCCTGAGAAGGGGCAGTTAAGAGAGACCGACACCAGGCAGAGCATGAGGGAAGAGACGCGGAGGCCGACTGAGACAGAGCTCCATGCCCCAGCACAGCAGGACTGAGTCTGCAGAAAAAAGCATGTATAGATGGTTTTTTCTTTTCTTTTTAATTCTTCCTCTGACGAGCAGCTGAGGACTCCTAGCCTGCTGTGCACTTGCTCTCGGCACACCAAGGAGCCACGGTGGGTCTCTCCTGATGCTTGTTAACCTCGGAGTATCTCAGCTGATCTCTGTGGCCCTGCCAGGAGTCTCTCACTGGGGCCTGTTCTTCGAAACGCTGCCTCTTGACTTACCTCTCGTTTATTAACCAACCGAGAGCAGCCTGCCCAGATCCCTGCTTTCACTGGTGTTTCCTTTCAGTCCATACTGCCCTAAGGCCCCGTTTGGGRAAAAGGTGAGGGACACGGATATGTTTATATGTTTATGTTTATATGTTTAAGATAGGACAGATGGTCTCACAACCACTTGCAGCACTTCCAGTGCAAAGCTACTCTTTGAGTAAACAAGGTGCAACAGCCCTTCTGCTTAAGGATGTGAAGTCAGGGTGTATTTTAAATACCCCCATCAAACCTACGTGGTAGAACAGCCTTCAGTGCTCTTGCCACTAGACAACTATCTAATTAAAAGTAAGCTTGTTTTTAGCTCCCRAGTAAATAATTGAAGTTTGATATGCAAAAAAAACACAGCCTGTTTGCCAGGGAAGGTTTTCAGGGTGATACCTGGCAATGTGCATGTACAACAAAAATGAAGGAAAAATAAATAAATAACAGAAAACCGGAATTACAGAAACCCTTTTGATTAAAATTAAGACACAATCCCTTATTATTGCTCAACAAATATTAGAAAGGAAGAGATTGAGCAGCAATTATGTTCTGCTCCTAGGGCTCAAGTCTGGACACATGCTGTGGTTCTAAGGGRAAAAAAAAAAAAAGGAACTTTCAAGAATACCTCCAGAGACATCAGATCTAGTTGCTCGCTCCCACAGGCCATCATCCTGATCATCCTGGTATAATTTTTTCCAGAAACAGTCAAATCAGGAGAGCTTCTCCAGCCCTTGTGTATCCAGATCCAAGATTTTTCAGTGTGGCCAATACTTTTCACTAATACTTTTGTTTCTATTGGAAACTTCATTACCTGGTACGCTATAAGACAGTAAACTAGGAAGGAAAACTAAAACGCATTTGGCTTGTATAGCTTACAAAGAAGGCAGCATGGAGAAAATACATTGACAAGAGCAAGTGACAGGGTTGGCTGCAGTAGAGAAGACAGGGCCCAGATGTGAGGGGCACTTGAGGGCTTGCAGCTCCCGCAGACGTTTCCCTCTGCACTTGTGCGTGGGGCCGGCGCTCTGCGAGGTGCCGGGCCTGCGCACAGCGCTGCCTGCCCCACACATTCAGCCCAGCACACCAAGTGTCCTCAGCGGCGCGGGCAGCACGGACCCGCTCCAGCGGCACCATCTGCCGCTCCCGAGGAAGGAGCCCGAGGACAATGGATGCATTCCTGGCATTCACCCCAGAGTAAATATAAAATTGTGTAACGAGACATAAAAGGCCTTTTATGTTATTTAAGAAACACACAAATAAAACATTATAAACAGCGGCTCGTTTATAGTGCCTCCATCCAAATGAAATGGATGAATCTCTGTTAGCAAGGGCTAGTGATGCGTGATTTTAAGCACTGATTTTTCTCTTTTTGTTTGTTTAGGAACAGAGCTCTTCTTTCTGATAGCCAGAACTGAAGAAAAGCATTGGTCACTTTCTATTTGGACACTTCAAGTTATTCTCTGCTCTCCTCCCTGCAGCTGGAGAAGGTCAGGAAGCAGTCTTTAAATATTAAGATCTGTGCATGGGTCGGGCCAACAAATAACATACATATCTGGGGACTTTGAGCTACAACTGTGACTATTTCTAAAACATATGTTTTTCAGTAAACCAGAAATGCTTATAAAAAGCAACACAAAGGAAAAGGTGGTATAAATTTGAGTTGCAGCATGTTATTCATATGTTATTCATGTTTTATGTCTGCCAAAGGTTCCCCATCATCGTGTCCATCTTCTGTTTCAGTTCTCTGCTTGCTAAATCATATGAACTAGAGAAATTCAAGAATATTCAATTCAACATTCTATTCATTCAAGTGCTGAAAGGTACCCAAGAATCAAGATGTGCTAAAAATAAGCAAGAAAGAATATTATTTTAAATCTGAACCCCCCTGAGAGAAGTGATAAAGGCAAAGAACTAGGTGTCACAGAGATCACAAAGGTGGAATCAGTGTTTAGAGAAGACAAAAAGATCTGCCACATAATTTGTTTTTTACAGGCAGCAGAGTAATCCCTTCCTAGAGACTGAAATACAACAGGTCTTAGACAGGTTAGGCCTGAAAAGCAAAGAACAGGGAGGGGTCAAAATGTCTTAGGAAAATGATAAATTCTTAACCAAATCAAAATATGGAGGTGACTAAAGTAACACATGGTGTTGAGTTTGTCCTGCTTCAATATGGATGCTAATGAGGTACCTGACAGCATGTAAACATGAGTGATATAATTCAAACCAACTTAAAAACATGTAAACATGAGTGCTATAATTCAAAGCTACTTAGAGCTGAGCTACAGCCTCCCTCCTCTTCATTGCTGGGCACGTAACCCTCCCACTGCCCTGCGCCGTCTCGGGGCCCTTGCAGCCCCRTGGAGAGCGAGCTGCTGGACCAGCCCAGCAGCTGTTTGTTTTATATTGTTTGTTTTATAATGTTTTATATTTTCATAGGAGTGACAGTATTCCTGATTTGGTGCCATTCAACCCGTATTAAATACAGTCACTTTGTCACAGAGATAAAACYCCCTTTACCCCTCATCTCCTAAGTTACAGTCGCTTCTTCAGAATCCCATATTCAGAAAGGGTAAAATAGGCTAAGAGAGCATTGAAACCGTGGGTCAGATTTTATTCTGAGACACGTGCCTGCAGTTGGAGCTGGCAACGTGCAGGCCCACACAGAGCATCTAGGGCAGCCCCACTGGGTATCTGCAGCCCCACTGAGCTGCTGTGCCTGCTGACAAGGCTGAGCCCGCAGGCAGGGAGACGCTACCCCCAACTACCAACCTCAGCTCATGACCTCCTACCATCACAGCACCTTTACCACTTAGGTGGTTACTGCACAAATTTCCAAGCCAATAAAATCAGAGAGGATTTGCTTTAATTTTAAAATTGAAGGTGGTAAAATAAAAACATATAGATGAGACTATTAAAGGTCAGGAATATAAGGATGCCTCCAGGCACTTCAAACTTTGCTAAGTCAGCCTTCAGTTTGATCTATGATATCCATATATCCACCCCCGTGATTCTCATGCAATCACATACTTAGTGATACAGGCTTATTCATCAGAAATCAGAACAGCTCTGAAAAGTCAAGCTGAAATTTAAACAAGTGCTTTTTGGCATTTCTTGTTTATGTTAGACCAGGTGGCAGCTGTTGGAAGATCATTTTGATTTAACAAGTTCTTGTTTTGTTAGCAAAGAAAAACAGTGTTCAACCAAACTCTCCTGACAGTGAATAAATATTTCTCCTCCATCAGACCAAATATTTTCATGTGTCATCTTAGTAGCTGGGGGTAAAAAAATCTGAAAGGATTTCTAGATTCCTAGATGAACTCCAAAAYAGCTAATGGCTCAGTGCTTTATGGGAGATAACTGTTGCCTCACCCTCAGGACTGGTGGCCCTGCATCACCAGGATATGTCCAAAACTGGACAGATTTCTAAGAAGGAAAGCATCTGAAATGCTCTAAGAACCTCCTCTGTGGAGGAACCCATGGGCATGGGCTTGTTCAGTTCAGAAAGGAAACATTCCCCAAGGCTACCGAGCAGTCTCACAGTGTGTAAAGGAGCGTGATAAGGGCGAGTGATAAGGGCTGAGCCTGCCCAGACGTGTGCAAGGAGACTCCATCAGGGCCCGTTTCGCCGGCGGCCACCACCGCTGTCTGCCGAGGTCCTTGAGCCACCAGCGACGGGGGACAAGGGAAGCAGCTGTGGCAGGGAGCACTGCAGGCTCCTCCGTTCCCCCCATCCTCCCTGGCAGCTGCTCTTGGTGCCCATCGGAGACAGGACTGCAGAGCAGCCCAGCCTTTCACCGTGACCACGCGCTGCCGCTCGGCCCTTCCTGTGCTCCCTGCTCCGGGAGGAGGCACCGACAGGAGCTTCGGGGACAAGTTACGGTTGACACAGGCGCATTCTGACCTACTGGAGCGTTTTGAACTGTCTGGCATTCCCACAGGCTGCTCCCATTGCACCAGTCTTTCATTTCTGCCAGAACTGAATACATTCAAAAAAAGGAAACGTTAATGTTCCTACTATAGATCTTTGTCCCCATTTGAGTCATTACCTATTTCTATAACTGTAAAATTCAGCAACATAAAAAATACTGGATTGCCATTCAGTTTGGAAAGCAGGCAGCATCTCTGGAGTGCCTCGCGGGTAGGTCAGGAGGAGAAGCAGTTATATAATATTTAACCGTACATAACTACTTCTTTCTTTACAACTTCACAGAGCTGCTAATTAAAAGTGAATGATGGAAAAGCCATTTACAGTTAGTTCTGCTCTTTGCAAAGAATTTTGGCTGCTGGTATCTTTTGGCATAATTCATTTACTGTGGATTTCCTCATTAACACATTTAAAAAGTTACAAAGTCCTAAGCAGTAAATGCAGTGTTTTTACAAAAATCCCCCTCTCCATTAGTAAGCCAAAGAATACAAGACAGTCCTCAGACCTTGACATGCTCAATATATTAATGAAACTCTTTAGTTCTAAAACAAACTCTAGTGTGTTTCTCTACATATTATTTTAAATGCATAAATAAATGAAGATTGCCAAGAAATCTGTCAGGTTCCTGAAGGAATCTGCACCATGTGCACACAGCCCTCTCRGACGACACCATCATGAGAAAATCTGGGTCCTGGCAGACTGTCTCTGTGCAGCTGGAAGCTGCTTCTCAAGTCTAAGGGATCGATGCTTTCTGTGTTGTAGACTATTAGCCAGATTCTTCTGAGGAGAGAATATCAAATAAAAAGCAAATGATCCCAGGTGCACATATAGGTTACCATTTAGACTGGGTTTCGTGAGGCCATGTTATCTGCACGTAAATCAGTGAAATTGCTTGTAGAAAATCTCTTTGTCCAAAGCAGGATCACAACTTGCACCAACAATGCATACTTTGGTCATACCCACGACTCATGTCAAGGCTACAGCTTCACAGTACACTCTCTTCGCCACTAACATGTATGTTAGAGAASCTGAACCTCCCCCCTGCCTCACAGTATGTGCTCTTTTGGGGAAGAGGCATCACTGAAATAAAAGAAAAAAAAATAAAAAAGAGGGGGTGATATTTTTAACCTGAGCCAATTCAATGAGCTGGTTGATACGACGGCCACAGAAAGTTGAAGCATGAAGAATGAAGGAAGCTGAAGCATGAGAATGAAGGAAAGATGTGAAGTCTGTCTTGGTACCAGTGCTAAGTGCTGCTGCTGCCTTTATCAAAAGCTGTGAATACAATGATAATTCATATCCTAAACTTCATCTTTTTGCAAGTTGTATCAGAGCGCTCCATATTACACAGTAAGATTTGGATCCTGTAGGAAAGACTTGGGAGAAAAAACTTCATCATGAGATACTGGTGGGTGAGTTAATGGAATAGTAGTCCATGTAATACTTATTAACTGGTTGTACTGTAGGCAGTGAGGACAGTTATCTAGGAACAAAAATATCTGGGCACTTGGTGAACTTGGAGATCTCAGGTAAGCGTGAGGAAGACGCCACTTTCAGAAGCCCTGGTGGCGCTTCGGACACAGCCTCTTTACCCAGAGCAGCGGTTCTAGACTTGAAGAAAAAGCCATTGCTTGACACAACGAGAATGAGGTCGTTGTATTTCATTTTCTTGGCTTAACCTGTTCAAGCCTAGGGCAAAACAGATGCTGCCACTAAGGGGAGGCTTAGCTATCATCCATTCAGATATTGGATTCCAAAGAGCAAAAACAAAATATTCCTGGAGTCACATCAAGACTCTCCTACGAAGAGCTGCCTGCGAGGGAGCAGCAGAGACTGCGCCGTGCAGATACACACGAGCCCCGGGATCCCTTTGCTGYGGGTTCCTGTTCAGCCACATGTTTGCGCCGCCAGTGCCCGTGAGATCACTGCTGGGGAGGGCGGCTGAGAGAAAGCGCCTGCTTTGCCACAGGAGCTCGAGGGTTCTGCCCCACCGCGGCCAGCTGCCCCACGTGGGCCCGGCCCGGGCACCGCTCTGCACCCCCAGCAGCCCCACACCTCCTGCRTTGTGAAGCCAATGCAATTTCTCCCTGGAAAGTTATCCAGCTGCCAGCAGAATATTCCGTATGGAGGGAGCGCTCTCCCACCATGAGCCGAGGAGGGAGGAACCCTGTGCTCACCAGGTATCGGAGAGCAAGGGCAGCGGAGCCCTCGATGGTCCTCTGTGAGGGGCAGAGTTTGCCGCTGTCTCCCCGCCAGCGCTCCGGGGGCAGAGAGAAGCCCGCTGCCGCTCACGGCCAGTGCCCGGGCGCAGGAGGCAGYGGGGCTGCGAGCGGGACCCTGGCACGGGCTCCGCTCTGCCCCTCTCACGGGCTCAGAGCCTTCGGCTGCAGCGCAGGGCGCAGGAACCGCAGCGAGAGCAACGTGCTCCTCCAGCCAGGAACCGCCTCTTGTCTCGCCAGTTGCCCTAGCTGCAAGGAAAACTACGCCAGGACGTAAAAACACATGTACCATAAACAAACTGTAAGCCCGTGCAAATAACGTAAATCAAACATATTAAGGTTCCATTTACAAAAGGTTAACAAATAATTAACAGCTGTTTTAATAAATAACTGTCTATCTCTCATCTAGCATCAATCCAGCAGATAGGTTCTCGCTGCCTACACTACTTTCTACTGACATGCTTACAGCCCTCTCTAACATAGAGCTCATATTTCTCTAACGTGAAATACAACATCTTGAAATCATTTATTAACCCTTCATAAAATTCCAAATAAACCTTAATATGAGGGACGACTAACTCATACGTCTGCAGCCCCATGCCCCAGCACACGTGAGATACTAGCTCTTTCATGTTTTTATTTGCAATTCTACATTTTACTTGGGAGCATCACKGGCTACAGAACCGGGTGCCTGCAGTGGCTCCAGCACTACCCTGCAGACACAAGAGGTGAAACAGAAGTGGCAGCAGAAGATCACAGGGAACAGTTCAAGTTCTTCCAAAAGGAACGTCCTGGCTTCTTTGTTTGTTGTAATTAACATTAATACCATGACAATATAGTCAGAAAGCAAAAACAGAGCCTGTTGAAATTAAATATGTTATTTTCCCTTATTTTTAGAAAACAAAACCAAAAAAACAAACACATTGTAATATAAATAAATAAAGGGGAAAATATTTAGGTAAATTCCCAAACCCACTGGTAGGGTCTTCAAGAGGCACCAGCCAACCATTTTTCAGATGCAACCTAAATTCCTCTTACCTGCAAATTCTCAATATACTTAAAGTCTTATTTAGTGTGTCATTCTTGGGGAACAAGGCGTATTACATTTAGGTCTCCATTTTTCCATCTAGAACTTTTATCCTCAAGCTCCCACCTTAGTTATTTCTATCCAAATCACCTGCTATTGGTCTAAGAAAGTTCAGGTCACACCTGTACTACTTTTCCATTTTCTGAGCCTCTGCCTTCGTTCTCACCCTCTTCAATCAGGTTTTCATTCTCTTGGATCTTCTCTTCTTCCTCCTCCTCCTCCTCCTCCTCCTCATCTCCGAAAGTCTGTTCTTGCATTGTGGTAAAAGTTAGAGACCTGGCAGCAACCTGTGCAGCCAGACCAGCTGTGAAGTTCCAGTCCGTGGCTCTGTGGAGCTGAGCCAGCCTGTGCCTGACATCCGAGTGCGCCGCGTGCGGGCACGGACCGCCCGGCACGTCGCCCGCCTCCCGCTCCTCTCCTTCCCCTTCACACCGGGAGCTGCTTCGCCCAGCCTCTGCAGGGACACCTTCATCTGTGGCACTGTCCCTGCTGGCCTCCGTCCCAGCATCTTCGTACAAACACTCTGTCCTGCTTTTAGCAGCAGCGTTCACTGATGGATTCGAGTCCCTTTCTTCAGATTTGTCACAACTTTGGCTACAGTCCTGATTTTCTGTACCTGAATTCAGAGGTGACTCCAAATTATTTAGTAGCTTCAGTGGCTCTAGAGGTGACAAGGGTTTCACTGCAGCTTAAAGAGGGGAAAAAAATGAATGATAATAAAAAGTGAGCTGCTAAATGTATTTCATCTATTTGTGTTTTTAAAAATAGAGTATTGTAAAAGATGTAAGGGACAAAACAGATTAAAACAAACAAGCAAACAAAACCAGTAACAAAACCACAGTCAAAGAAGCCTAAAATAAATCAGTGTTTTCAGGAAGCTGAAGCTGCAGGGCGATAGCTGCTTGCCTGAACTATCCCTTAGAGGTTACAAGGTAAGGGAAGGACGTGACATTCATGATGTTCAAAATAGCATCAAACACTGATGATGCAGTCAGTGTTAAAATTAAAAAAAAAAAAAGAAACAGGTAAAACAGCTATGCTGAATAAAGATTTAACTGCCTTCCTTTTAAACAACAGTTTACCTAACCCGGTAAGACAGCTGGTACATGAGGAAGTCCTTAAGTGCCACACGTGAACTCACACGTCACAACAAGAACACACAACACGTATGCATACAGTCTGGTAAGGTGTCCTCGCAAACAAGGGGTGCTTTAATTTAGCCTCTCTTCAAGTTAGTAGCAGCCAGTCCCATATCCAGCAACAGGATGCTGGCCAGGAAGTCTCTCCTCCCAGTGTTAAGGGGTGGGAACACGGTACAATCCATTCTCGAAGCCCCSGCGTCTCTCTCTCTTTTTAACACAACGACATAGGGTCCGTTTCCAAGTAAGACAGTCCCTAAACTGCAGCAGCTCCGTTAGAGAGTAGCAGCACGAGCATAAGTGAGAGCGGCAGGTTCCCAAGTGGCATTTCCCTTTCTAATTCCATTCTGACTTTACCCCTGTAAGCAGAGATGAAAATAACTCTGGGAAATACACAAAGTTTTCACTGGAAACAAACTTTACGGCATGAGGGTTTTTCCATTGCATCCTGGTTCAGCAGCAGTTATTTTAGGCGGCGGCAGGCGCGTCGCGGGGCCCTGCTCCCTGCTGCCCCTGGCTCCCTGCACACTGGGCCTGAGGCTTTGTGCCACTTGTGCTGCTGCTGCTGCTGCCACAACCCCCTGCACACGCTGAGGGAGCTCCAGGCCCATCCCAGTGCCCATGGCAGCTCCTCCCCGCCTCCAGCGGAGCCCTGCTGCTTATTTCTGCACCTGTGCTGGAGGAGGCAGGAATCTGCAGGCTCATGTGGAGCCACCTTACCTTAGGAGCCCCCTCTGCTGCCCACCTCCTCCTCAGCCAGACGTTCCAGCAGGGCAGAGATGCACCATTGCTCTGCCCAGACCTTTCCCAGCACTGGAGAGCTGGGAAGTGGCTGTGGAAGAACTGCTGTATAGACAGGAAGGGAGGGGGCAATGCAGCCACTGCCAAAACGGCTTGTAATGTTGGATGAGCGACAGCCTGGTACTGACAATTTCTGTCCAAAGTGCCTCCATTTTACACAAGAAGATGCCAAAAGACAAAGAATAAGCACACCTGCAGGCCAATAAACTATCTACTGCCCTCACTGTGAGCAGCATCACCACCTTGCTGGCCCAGGCAAATTTACTTCACTTGGATACGAGGATGGTGGGGTTTTTTTTCCTGAAGTCCAGCCTATCATCTCTGGACATCATCATGCTGCGTTGCTCAGACACAGCAGCTTTCTGGAGCCTACTCCTTATGGAGAAACCTCCCCAGCTCCTCCATCTACCAACCTAAACCCTAACAAAGCAGAATGCCTTGCTGGGAAAACACATCAATTCTGGAATACAGTCATCCTGCAAAAGCAAGACTGAAGAGGATACCTAAGAGCAAAGCTGATTTAGAATAGACAAGAAACTGTTTCCAGGCTGACTGGATCGGAGAATGGTTTGGAATTGTCTGGGACCATAACGAAGCACAGATTGTCTGGAAACAACCTAAGTGTTCTGTGCAAGACTCTGCTGTAGGAGTGAAGATGCTTCTCCCCGAGGCAGTCACTCTGAGACACTTCTCCACTTGTGGAAGGGAGTTTGAGAGAGCCCCTCAATGCTGAATTCGTAGCTGTGCAAGCCCCAGGCAAAGGCTCTTGTCCTGCGTGGAGAAGCAAGAGACAAGAATATAAAGCCCATGCAGACTGCAGCATCAGTGTGGACCAAGGGACTACAAATCTGCATCCRTAAAGGGCGATGGAGAAATGCCGTGGCCCAGCCCTGCTTTGGCTGGGAGCAGTGCAGCCCGGGTGAGGAACTCCTTTGGTTTATGAACTCCTTTGCCTTAAAATCTTCAAAATTATGCCAGCCACAGATGCAGAAAGCACAACTTGGTAGAAAGATTTCTGAAGAGGACAACTGTCATGTACCGGTAAGTAAAGGAGCAACACGCTGGGGTTATGGACAGGTTACATCAACAACCCCSTCAGTAACCTGTGTGACCATTATGGCATATTTAACTGAYTTAATGCTTTTTTTTTTTTCTGAAGAAATAATGAAGAAATTCCTCAAGAAACAATAGAGGATGTTATGCCAGGAAGAATGATACAGGCTGCATGCAACAGGAGACTGCGTGAATTGCTTCCACGGGCTCTCCTCCTTTTCTCTGCTTCTGTAGAGAGGGGAAGGCATCTGTGCTTAGTCCTAAGCAGGTGAGTGAAACCACACTTGCCTCCTTCCCCACCAGAGAATTTGTACTCTTAAAGGAATGTTGTATCTGAAAATGAGAAGGAAAGGAAGCAGTGCCAGGGATGAAGGGTTTCATGCTAGCAGTAAGAAGACTGAAGATTATGGGAGTCGAAGATTAGGAGAAGATTCAGGGGTAGAGCTGTTCAGTTAAACTAGTTGATTAATCCAAGGAAGCTGTGACGAGAAATCGCCTCAGGACTGGATTTGGACAGGCATCTTTTCACAACACACATAAGGAAATACTCTATAGAAGCTCTCCGGACAACGTCTCTTCCTTAGAACAGTCACTGCATCTAAGAGGTCAAGACTTGAGCTGAGGGTAGGATTCCTTCCTTCTCCTTGAACTGAGGGGAAGGAGAGACTTGAAGACTCTCATGGGAAGAGTTGTGTGGGGTCCCATCTAACACCAGAAAGATGATACGGAAATCCGGAGTGGAATCTGATGCAATCTGCTGTTTTTGCTCTCTTAACACAACTAGAAGGGAAGTCAGTATCAATTACCTAGAAATTTCTTCTACCATAGCTTTGGATGAATGGATGTAAAGAAGAAAGTTGTGAAGCACAGATATTCTGTGGGTTTCATGTCCAAAAAAACAACCTCATAAAAATGTATAGTCTGTTTGTGTATGTTCCCACTAAATTGCTGAACCCATCAATGGTCATCTTTCCTGGCAAACCCTTTCCTGGCAGAATCTGCATCCAGTTGTATTGCTGGAGCTGAGACCAACTACCCTGCGGAGGCAAGAGAAAACTGCATATTCCTGCCTCCAGGTGCAACTGGATGGAGCTGCCCAGCATTTCTCATCAGAGTGGGTATGGGCTGGTTCCAAAGAATTCCTCATGGCAGTTTTTTTGTGGAAAATACTCTGTATACTCACTSTGTCAGGGAAACAAGAACGTCTTCTGTATTTTTTACGGGCCTTTTAATATTTCAAAGTCTACTGTTCACTTTAATCTGTACATTGTTGTTAGTCTGGATAAATTCTGATGGTTGCTTCCAAGTCTGAAAAGTAATTTAGCAATGCACCCTCATTAAAATCCATATCTACCAAAGAGCAGAGAGAAAGTCAGCTCCATTAGTGTGGTTTATTGCCTGGCAGTTCTCTGAATGCTGTGCTTAATATTTTGCGTAGTTAATATTTTAGCTTACTATTTTGTTTGAGGCAAAATTCCTATTTCTTATAGTTCCTTCCATTAGATATTCAAATGATTTTTTAAAGGTAATTCCAAGCAGCTGGAAGAGTAAACAGGGGGCCACACAGCTCTGTCAAAGGCACTGCTGTAGCTGAGTGCTATTAGTACTCTAACAACATAGTCACAGTTGATGGTAAACAGGCACCTACCCTTTCTTAGGAAGAAACAAATATTTCAAAGCAGAGCTTACCATGGTCACTGAATAGCAGCTGTTTCCATTTCTGCCTTTCTGCTTCTGAGGCTTTAAATCCCAGCACAGATTTCAATTCCTGTAACACCCGCTTGGATTCCTCTCGCTCCCGTTTTTGTCTCTCTCTCTCTTCCTGGGAAAAGCAGTARAAATCTTCCTTTTTGTATTCATTGTCCATATCTGAATCATCAACATATGCTTCCAATTCCTAAGGAAAGAAAGGATAAAACCAGTTTTTATTGTTYACCTTCAGCACAGATTTTGTCCTACCAGCTGCTGTGTGCTCAAGTGACTCAACACAAGCCAAACAGCATAAGAGGATGCTCTGAGCAGAGGCACGGGATCTGGCCCTGCTGCAGTAGTTGGGAGGAAATCCACTCCGAGTTAGCTGAACTGCAGTCACCCAAGATTTTTTTCTCATATAAATACACAAATATCATAAAGTGACATATTCTGGTAAGGGAAGTCCATTGCTCCATAATTTCTGTTGGAAATAAGCAATGCCAATGTGTTTGGTTTTTGTTTTTAACTTACCCGTATGCAATTCTTAGTCGGTCAGGCATACTGCTAATTTAACTTATRTCAAGCCTTAGATGTTCAGTGTGTTAAAGTCTGTTTTAGGCATCCAAAAAATGCAAAGATCACATAAACTGAAGATGGGCTGTATTGTCCAGAAACATGTCATTTGGGGATCTGCAACCTTTTGTGTAATAAAATGCAATTAAGCTTCAACTTTTGCCTTTTAGCAAATGTTTTTATTTTTCCTGTATTACTTTGACTTGTGTTTCTGCCTCTCCTTTTGTCTAGTTATTTCCAATATTATATGTGAATAAGCAAATGCTAGTGCCCTTTGTCCCAACATGAGGAGCATCTCCCTGTGGAACAGCAGAGATAAAATACATCTTTTATTTTATTTTTTTTTCTGCAAGTCCACATATGAAATGGCACTGGGTACTTGCTCTATCTGCTTTGGCAGTACAAAGAAGGTTCCTGCAAAGCAACTGAAAAAGAAATCGGTAGAGAAAACAAGTGAATAAATAAACTAATGTTTATTAAGTGTTTCTTTTTCTTTTTACCTGCTCTTCAGGGATCGGATCTTTGTCTTCAATGTGCAGGGCAGGCTGCATTAAGGGTACTGCCGTATGCTGGATGTTGTCCCAGGAAGCCTCAAGCTGGCCTGCAGGAGGAAAGAAGGAAAGAGAGAAATGTATTGGGGAGAAAAGAAGAAAAGATGGAAAGACTGAGTGGTCTATTTGGCTCACTCAGGTCGGATCCAGGTATTTTCATCAGGCAGCTTTGGCACATATGCAGAATGGTGAGGCGGCTGTTAGAACACACTGAAACTCATGTAAGAGACATATATAAAAATGACTAAGTTATTTGAGTCTGATGCAAACTTCCTCGGAATACTTCAACTCACAGATCTCAACATTTTTATAGGGTTTGAAAAACTGCAGAGGAAAGGGAAAATCTATAAGATCAGGAAAGAGACTTGCTGCCTAAGTTTAAAAAGTGAAATAAAATAAGAGGTGGGAATTTATAGGCCAACTGACTTCAATTCATTAGGAAATACTGGAAGARATCAAACAAAATTTATAGCCACCTGGAACACAGTAAGGAGATAGAAGACAGCCCATGTGGATTTGTTGAGGATAAAAGATAACAAACCACTGCAATTCCCTTTTCTGACAGTTCTTATGACTAGAGAGACCAAAGATGTCCTGCATCTTGTTTTCAGTACGGCTTCCGGCCCTGTCGTGACCTGCTCATAAACAAAATGGCCAGCAAAAGTTGCCAGTAGGTGACACAATGCTCCTGGAAAACCTCCAGACAAAAACAGCATAGTGATTGAGGATTTGCCTCCAGTCTGATACTCTTCAATATTTTCGATGGGTGAAAGAAGGATGTTTAAGCTCACTGAATCTGCTGGCATTTGGGTGAGCTGCAGGGATACTGAAGGGCAGGTTTAGAATGAGAAATAAGTCAGAGAGAGTCCAGGAAGACCAGGATTTCAGATACAGCACTGCAGTGACAACAGTTGCAAAGTTCTGTACATTGGAATGGTTAAATGCACAAATATGTGATGACAAATGCACGGAGATCTAGTCAACCATGTGCTGGGATCAAAAAAACAAGTACAAATACATATAAGCAAGTGCACAGATTGCAAGACACATGAAATTTCATTTTCAGTCTGCTTGGCACTGATACAGCCTTGGRGAGAACATAGTGCCCACTGCAGGACTCCTCAGTTCAATGCTGTGGACCAGCTAGAGGGAGTTCACCAAAGAAAAGTAAAAATTATCAGAGAATTTTAAAAATATGCAGAATACTTGAGGGATATGTGATTTTGTAGAAAACATATAAAGAAATGTATTAGCTCTTGTCCAAAGTGTAAGAGAAAGCCATAAAGGGGAAATACAAGGTCCATTGTGGGAAGATCAACAGTGATTGCAATAGGATACATTTACATTCAATATCAGAAACAACCTGCTACTGGTAATGGCAATTAAGTGCTGGAGGAGATGCTTGGAAATGCTGTAAAATGTCTCTGAAAAGAGGTTTCCAAGAGCAGGGAAGCAGCATTTAGTCACAAATAGCACATGCGACGTGGGCTCTATGACCTCTCCAAGCCTCACTCCTACTTTCAGTTTCCAGTCTACACACAGGAGATTTTAGGGATGGCATTTGAATAGGGGATAGACAGTTTACATGAGAGATGCCTCTAATGGTGCTCAGCTTCCTGCTTCCACAAACAAAGGAAGTTTATAATTCTCTGGTTGCCTGGGCTGAGCTCAAGATTTGCTATTCCAGGAAGCATCTAAATGCATAGCGATGGTTTAAAAGAAAGCTGAAGCCTGCAGTGAAAATTGAAGTGGAAAACTGAGATGAGGTACTACCTTTTGCTAGTAGGTAATCATAATAGTAAGGTCTTGAATGTATAAAAACAAATTTGGAAGAATAAAAGGAAAGTTACCAATGAAAAGCCTGACTACCCCAAACAGAAGAGTAACACAGCTGCTCTGGTGCGGCCAGGCTGCTCCAGGGGTCCTCTCCCTGGGATTACAGCACTGCTAAGGATCAGCGCTACCAGACCACGTATTTGTTCCCTGGGCTGAACCAAACCTGCTGCTTCCAGGTTCTCTCAGGTGGGTCAAATCCAGGCACCATGCAGGAGTGCACCGCAGTGCTGAGCTCCAAGGCACTGAGGGGAGATGTAGGCACCTGCAGGACGGCARACAACATGAAAGGGCAAAGAGGGCACAGTTTGAGGAGCACTAATTCCCAGATAGTTAGAACAGTGCTGTAACTAACTGTAAAAATTATTCTTCTGTAAAACTRGTAGCAGGTTACTATGTGCTTAAAATGCCGAGGCCTGAAGAGGTAAATTAGCTTAATCAGTGAAGCTAAAAGGTGAAAGGATAAAGAGAAGCTGGCTGTAAGTCAAACATCAACACACCAGAAGTGAATAATGTGGGTCCATAAATCTATGGATATAAAATATGCCTAAGTAGAGCTGAATTCCCCTAAAACATAAAAACATCTCTTCTTCTCAGGATCTGTCACGTAGCTGACAGGAGCAGTGACTAACAGCACTGGTTCTGGGACACCCAGTGCTGTGAAGAGAGAGAAGCCACAGGAGGATCCCCAGAGCAACCCTGCATTTCAGCGAGGCTAGTGTCACCACGCACGGCTTTGTAAGATCAATGCACAGAACCCAGACTGAGCAGAAATGTATCACAAAAGTCAGATCCAGTCAGGTAAAAATAATTTTCAGTGGTGGACATAATTAAAAAGTAGTTCCCGTGGACTAACTCAGTAAACTTGTTGAAAAAAAGAGATATAAATCCAGCACACTTCCAGGAAGGTCCTGAGAGAAAACTGAATGTAAGAAAGAATATTAGTTATTTTTATTTCCTGCACAATCCTTCCCCTCTAGATCATACACCAACCTATTTTTGTACTGATTTTTAAAAGGAAGAAAGTTATAAAAAAAAATGCTGTGGAATTTTTATACAAAATAAAACTAATATGCCTAAAACCAGCATGGCATGCAGACTAGAAATAACACTGAAGGGAAAAAAGAAACTAARGGAAAAAAAAATCAATGTTACTGCTGGTTGTAGACAGCATTAACAAAATGTAACAGGACAGCAGAGGCAGGTGTAATCCTATTACATCCAGTATTCTGATAGGGACTTTTAAACAGTACTGACAAGGAATTAGTAAGACCAGACTCTGGGGCTAACTGGGTAACGGGGTGCCCGGACCTCTATAACCAGACTCAAAATAAAGTGAAAGCAGCTCCATGCTCGCACGGAACTCCCRATTGCTCCCGGGTCTGATGCAAGCACCAACAAGGTTAGCCTGGATGTTTCTTGGTCCACAGAAACATTAATCCCTCRGCAGGATAACCCCTGCCCCTCACGTATCATTAATAGCCTCGAGCATGAAGCATTTGGAATTCTTGCTGGTGCATGAAATCACACTTCAAGACATGCCACTGTCAAGAAAGTTTCATGACGACGTCACTGCCATTTTGAATATCAAGTAAGTTTTATGCAATTAAATGAAATTCTAACAATGCAAAGAAAAATGTCTCAAGAGTTGATCCATAGAAATCCTATCCCTTCACACGTCATCCATCAGTTAAAGACAAAAAAGCCACAATCAATTTATACCTGGCAATATAACAATTTGYATCCAAGTTTCTAATAAACTGTATTAACACCTTTACATTTTTTAGGGAAACAAAAACCTCAAGGTCACCCAGTTGAAAAGAGTTTGCCACATGCATATCATTTTCTCCAAGTCTATAGCTGCAGGACCTTCTCCAGCTGAAATTCAGATACATATGTTGGACAGTTTTCGGTCTCTTTGGCCACTCCATCTCTAAAGCAATGTCCATTGGTTCACAAATTAACCTTTAGTATTTACCTTTTTGATCCGGGTTTCTTCGATTCATTTTTTCCACCTGAGAAATGGCTTCTTCCCAGCAGCTGTTGCTTGCCTGGATATGAGGCTGAATATACTTCAGTTTTTGTTCCAGAACCTGATGGGCTTCTGTTGTTAACTCATGTGTCTCCTTAGTGCTAACAAGCTTTTCAAGTTCATCCTCAAGAATTATTACCCTGCATGGTGAAGAGACAAATAAAATATCAACGAATACCTGACTTGACCATTCCTTCAAGTTTCATTTCATTAACATCCTGTTATTTTCTCCAGGTTCTCATGATTTGGTTTAGTCAAAACCTCAAAGCTTTCCCAAATATTTAAATGCAAGACTTTTTCTGCATGGAGATATGCCATTCTCTCACATTCATTATAGCAATCCTTCAATTTAAGATTAAATAGTAAGACAGTTTCAACTATTTCGGTGAGAAATCTTTAAAAATATTTGCCAGGTAGTTATTACAAGCGGAACTGTTTWAGAAAGTGCCTGGTATGTTGAAAAGCAGTGAAAGATATTTTCAGATTTTTCAAGAGCTTGGCTAAAGAGAGATTTTTATGCACGGTTTAGTTTGGAATTTTTGCCAGACATTTAAAGCATAACCAGGAAACAATAATATTAGATTCCCTAGTGGACTGAGGCACTTTGACTTCAGGCTACGGGAAGCTGTGCCGAGCTGCTGCAGCTGAGGGTTCAGACCCTGCAGTGGGCAGAGCATCAGACCACGAGGGCTGGGACTGAACCTTTTAAGAACTCCCGAGGGATTTCTAATGCCAACTATGTCTTTTAAAGTAGCAGTTGGCAAAAAGGCACCTTCACTAAAATCAGTTACGAAACAAAATAGGTACGGAGTACTTTCCATGACTATATATATTTTGGTCTTTTCTGTTTTTAATCTGGGATATAGATGCCAAGAATTTAGGCTGGAGGCCTCTTCCCACAGACATGTCCTGCTCACTCACTCACTCACCCACTCACTCACCCACTCACTCACTCACTCACTCGTTCAGCAGGGCCTTGAGGTGAAGCTGCAGGCTGCGGACCGCCGTGTGGAGGCTGTTGAGCTCTTTTGACTTCTGCTTCTTTCTGGTTGCCCGCTCAAAACCCGACTGATGCTGGGTTTCAAAGTACCGATGGAACTCGTAGCTTCGCTTGAGCTCCTCCAAGCAGGCAGCGTGGGTATGAGGTAGGCCTTGAGTCACGTCRGACAAGACGTGGTGAGGCAAACTCTCCGGCGTGAGCAGGGGCTGGGGGGACGCGTTGGCCGGGGAGAGCAGCAGCACCAGCCTCCTGAAGAACTCGGAGCTCTGCCCGACCCAGAGCTGAAAGAGAACCTGGAGAACAGAGCTGCGTTAGCCGAGCAGCCAGTGCCAGGGAAAGGGAGCAACTTGCTGTGGAAAGCAAGGGCAACCTCCAGCCGGCCACAGGAACCCGGAGAAACCACAGAGTCTGCTGAAGATTTCTGACGGGCATCCACGTGAGTTCACATCTTGGGAACCTTAGATGACTCTGAATGCTTCTATGAAGTTTCTTATGTGCAATTATGCTCTAAAGGCTCTCAGAGGCCTAAAACTTCGTGGTTATTTCAGACAGTCTCATTATTCACTGTAATCCGAAAATACCCTATAGCTCATAGACRGCTGCCAAAATTCCAGTGGCAGCAAAGACATTTTATGCTTTATAACTTCCAGCTATCATTTCTATCATCTACTCTGACTAAATACGGTGTCGCACCACACCCCTGCAACGTGCACTCCAGCCAGAGCAGTTTTACATCTGAAGAAATCTGGACTGCTGCTAACTTGCTCTTTTCTTTTTCAGCCCAGGTGAGACATTTCACCAAAGCCATGAAGGCTGATGAGAAATGAATCACTTCACAGGGTTACACATGCTACGAATGAAGCCAGCCAGGCTGGACACCAGGAAGCCACCACTGTGATCTCCCAAGAGCTTCTCTCTCAACTGAAATATGAAAATAAGACTGGTTTTCTTAGTTTAGACAAGATTTGTTCTGATGACACGCAAGACCTGGCTATTTACACCATGACAGAACATTAGCATCTCAAATTGCTAAAATAAAAGCAATTATGATACTTTTCTCTCTGACAGCAGTGCCTATTGAAAATGATCAGATTTAAATAACTAAGAGGTGAAGAAAGAAAAAGCACAGACAAGTGGGCAGCAATCACCTCTGCACCCTGAAGGAGTGCTGGTCTGAATAAAAGGGCAGAACTCAGATTAGTATGAATATAAGAGAAGGCCAGTCTCTTCCCTTCAGTGGTAAGGCAGAAGCTGACACACAAAAGGCAGCACATGAAAGTAGAAAATTTCAGAAATTAAACATAATAATCCAAAAGACGCCTAAAAAAAAAAAGGCATGAGGATGAGAAAAAATGAAACTCCAAAATTTACTCAGAGATGTAAACAGCTTTTCTTTCAATAAAAACTCTTCATGATTTTTATTGGCATTCAAACTTCATCCAAACCCATCTCTCCTCAGCTTGGATCAAAACAGCAAAATTAATTTTAAAGTTTTTTTTTAAATCCTCTAAAGCAGTCTAATTTGAGGACAAGGTAACCAAAATGCACAGGGCTAAAGGCAACACATATCTCATACGGTCTAGGCAGGGGCTTGAATGAAATTTAAAATACTGACCAAATCTGTGCACATATGTGTGTTCTGCCTGCACTTCAATATATTAGCAAGTTCCCTCAGAGGGGAAAGAAAAAGAAGGGGACTAAGTATAAATTCAGGTCTCGCAACACGAACATGTCACAAGGTTATCCAAGTATATCCATTCTGGTAATCTAAGTATGGATCTGCTTAGGACTGGCTTATGTTAGTTTAGCGTGATTCAGCTACCCCACGCCCAGCCTGCTTCACAGSTACCACGTAAGGTGAATGGAGATTTGCTGGCTGGAGTTTAACTGCACCCAGAAAGCATTCCAGCCAGTTTAAAGTAGCTTGAAAACTAAACTCAGCTAAATCAGTGCAAATTGTGGGTGAGCAAAGACTTGCTTTACAAGCCTGGGCAATTGACTGGCTTCTTATGTTTAAAGAGAAGTGCATAAATAACTGGACTTGCAGGATTGCAATTAGAACTACTGCTTATTAATGGCAAGAAAAAATTCCTAATGGTTACCTGAAGCTCCTAGTTTAAACTAATTAGACTAAAGCCTTGAAGCGTCTCTGCCTCTGCTACTAATCACAGTTATTGCCACATCAAAATAGGTCAAGGTCCAGGAATTCAGTGAATAAAACACGAGTCCATCAAACATGAAAGTCACACAATAATGGATTTTTCCATTAAAAAAAATGTTAAAAGAGAATTGCCTAGGCAGAGAACCACTAGAGTGTAAAGAATTTTGCTTTTGATCAAATCAGATCCTCTTTTCAATAGCAGACACGTACTCAYGCAAATCAGAAATACTTAACATCTCTAACAAGATGTAAAAAAAGTCATATATAGTTGCTGCTCTGTTCATTTAAATGTTTTTCAGAGATTAAACATCGACGGTGGTTCACAGCAGTATGGGATTCAAGTTTATGATTTTATGATTTCTACTCTTCAGTGTAACTAAATGCAACTATTACATTTGCAATTACAATCAATTTACGTCTTTGGATCTCTCTCTTTTTATGGAAGAGATTAGCTAAAGAGATTGATTCTGTTGGATCAAGTGAAATCGGAGACCATCTAATTGCTGGACAACAATCAGAGAACAAAATCATGTGTAGGGAGGAGGCTGATCCAGCCTGTTGTAAAATACTCATTTGAATTTAAGTGATTTGCAGAAAAGATAGTAATGTTGTATCGTACAAATAACTTCTCTTCAGTGACATGCAAAAACAAATCATGTAAATGCCAGAAAGTACAAGACACATGATATGAGACTACTTAAAAGTTTCCTCCAGTTCAGTTTTACTAGGATCAGTACGTAGGAAGCAAATAAATAAATAAATGAACTCAACAATGACAAAACTTAGGAAATGATAAAAAAACTTAGGAAATGATGCCCAACAGCTGAAGCAGCAGAGCCTTCTGACAAGTGAGCAGACCCTCGGGATACTCCTCATGGATGCACGTGTCCTTGTGGGAGAGAGTACCTTGAGCGCGGGCAGGCTGAAGCCGTCCGTGAGGTTGTGGGCCTCCTCTTCGGACACCTGCTCCTCGCTGAGCCCCAGCCCCAGCTCCTTGAACGGGACGACGCAGATGTAGTTGGTCACGTTGTCGCTCTCGGAGTTCAGGGGGTAGGTTTGGCCGGAGTTAAGGGGGTTAACAAAGCCACGCTGGCCACGAGCGCACGCAACAGGCAGGGGCGCCACGTCACGTTCCTTATTCTAGCAACTCCATGAAAACACACGTTTAGGTGAAYGTTTTGCAGTCTTTGCCCCCAGCGTGGCTTTTAAATACTCATGGAAAGACACGGCATTAACGAAACATCTACGTCTAAAAACAAACATCTAAAAAGAAACAAATGGAATAATGAAAAATCTATGCATTCCTTTCAAATGAAGAAATTCTCTTTAAATAGAAAATTCCCAAGAAACAGCTCATGTCAGTCTTAAAAATAGAAATTGGTTATTCAACAAATTAAAGAGACGAATATAACACCTGTACAATTTTAATTTTCAAAGGTAATCTATACAATAGTCCCAAAGTAGGATGGTGGGACTTCCCTGCGAGTTCTGCTTAATGAGGACTGCCCAAAGATGTTTAAAATAACTGTTCTTTGACACTGTCATCCAACCCCAAATTTCTCTACCATGCACAATACGGTTTCATACAGCCAAAACTCTATTATCTGTGGTAACTTTTGTGAAGGTAACTGTGCTGCTGTCCTTGGTGCTTTCCCATCCGTCTCCATGGCAGTGCTGACGTGACAGGGAGAGTGCGGCTGTGATGCACCGTGATCCCTAACGTGGCTTCCAAATCAGCTCAGCTAACAGCACAGGTCCTCACCCTGCCCCTTCTGATTCCTACATTGGAAGGTGTTCTTCCGAATCATCCCATTCCGAAGGAATATGGGAATAACAACAAAGACAGAAGTACATGAGAAAAGCCCTCGCAACCATGAAGATCTTGGATACTGGCTGCTTCGGAAACTATTGACATCGACAGGAAACTATTAGTATTAATGATCATGAGCTCAATTTTTGCGTACTTTACAGGGACCTCCGGTCACCCTGTGTGAACAGCAGTTTCTGTGTCCCCACTCCCCATGCAATGCAATGCAATGCAAGCCCTTGTTCAGAGGACGAGAGGTGCAACCCGGGCAGCGAGCCGGGCTTCCCTGCACATCCCCAYCTCGTTGCGGGTCTGACCGCTGCCGAAGCAACAAGGCTGAGCCCGGGGAAGAGGCTGCAGCCGAACACAGCCCTCGGTATCAGCAACGCTTCACGACTGCAAGTCATTTGTGACTGACTCTAGAAAGTGTTTAACTGCACAATTCCACATGCTGAAGGGAGTGGCCGGCTAGCAGAGGTGATCTGGGCTAATTCACACACAACTACTGAGCACATTTACTGCTTACACAGCTAGTTACGTAGCTGTAAACCACCATAATAACCTTGATAGGAACAGCAGCAAACTTTTATCTACCAATGCAGTGCAACCTTTCAATTCTTTCAATTGTTAATATTTATACTTATATTTTATATTATATTTCTGTATTTATAATTTCATTCTATATTGATAATTTCAAGCTAGAATAATGAGATCCATGTACAAATTTGTTTTTAAAAATGCATATTTTCAACCCTCAAAACTGTGGTGAAATGCTCAAAAAGCAGGAAGCAAACACCATATGACTCAGCTGCAAAGGAYAGATAAAAATATTTCATATGCTAGACAGCGTTTATATTAAAATAGCACTAATTTTAGGCTAACCTCATGCTTAGGAATGAGGAATGAGAAGGAGAGCTAGTTCAAGATTTCTGTGAGGCTTAACTAAAAAGTCAGTCACAAAACAGCATATTTGCTCTAACACAGGAACTAGTGTCATAAGAATATATTTGCTTTGCAAAAGTAAATAAAAGTATTTGCAAAGCATTCAGGAAAACAAGGCCTTAATTTAATCTTYCTTTTATGTTTTGATTTTGCAAACTCAGAGCTCTCATCTCATGGATGCCATAAATCTCATTGAAAAATAGTTTGTCTCATCCGTTTTCTGGGGAAGTTACAAGTTTCACCCCGTTTTACTCCTAGCTTTTCCACTTGCTAAATGCACATACCATTGAGAAGCTAATAGGGGTTTGCYCCAAAATAAATTTCCCACTTCGGTAGAAGAATTTTGCGTAAAACAGAAATTTTGTGGCCAAGAAAAGTCCCTCAGGGAAAGCGGGAGGCGCCGTGGCCGTCGCTCCTACCTGGCACCCAGCTGCATCAGCTCCGCTCAGGTAACCCGGGGGGATGCCCAGCAGATGGAGCACACGGGATGGGGATGGTTGCCTCCTTCCCACGGAAAAGTCGCCTCAAAACCATTAAGGCCTRTTTAGTTCTCTAAAAGACTAATCATACCCCTTGTTAATCCTTGCCCGCAACAAGCAGCTTCCAGCAGCGTGCACCTCTGGAAACGCAACCTGTATACAGCCCATGAGGCTTCCTAAGGCTCAAAAACAGCAACACAAAACATGCAGGAAACAGAAATATTAGGGGTGTGTAAAGAACGGACCGTAGCTCAAGATTTTCAACCTAGAAACTCTCGTGCACCATTCAGATGGGCCAAATGAGCCCCACGTGAAAGTAATACATCCACTGGGAATTCCTCGTGGACTCCTGCCCCTCCTGCCTTGCTCCCCTCTATTTTAATTCTACTGTTTGTATTTAATTTTGCTGAGAGAAAAAAGAACTGACCATATGCCTCTAATAGCTTCCAAGAAATAAACTTTTAGAAAGTTTAAATATATCCCATACAGATTCCCTTATTGATGCTTTTCTCCAGAACAAATATTTTTAGCCAGTGTTTTCTATTAAAGCAAARAAATGCTATAACTGAACTCACGTTACGCACATTTTTCTTGTGTGTTTTCTATGTCTTYGTGCAAACACTTTATACACCTGCTTAAGTCACATTTGTTACCAGTTGAGAATAAGAGAAGGCAACACTACTTAATAATAACCTCCATATAATCAGAATAAAGTATCTGTACAGGGAATATCTAATCTCTAGCAAGAGCCAATATTATTTATCTGTAAAAAAACAAGAGTATTAGTGCACTAAGTMTTTGTATACTCATGTATACAAATCAGCACTAGTCCTCTGCTTTTCTAAAGCACGTTCTCCTGTAGTGAGCTAATAGGAGGGACTCTCAATGTCCCTAGGAAATCTGAGCTGCTCTTCACAGAATTCTCCCCCCGACCAGGCTGGAAAGGATGAGCCAAAATCTCACCTGATGTCAACAAGAACAACAAAAAAATTCACTGAAAAATTCCCAAGCATCTTTACTCACATGCAAGAGTCAGACTTTGGATTTGGGACGCAAGGAGACGACAAGTTTTTGTAATAATGAAACAATTTCACTGTATTGAGGTGGGTTGGCGATTAAATCAATCCTATTTTATGGATAAAAAATGCCACTTTTTATAGATTTTTGCTTCTTTATGAACAACTTCTGACTTAATGCACATTCAGGCTGAAACAGTTCAGAAGCCATTTTGTTAAGCACTTGAAACCATATACTTTCAAAGAATAAAGATTATTATCCCATGTTAAGCCATAAATGAGTGAACTGATCTTGCTGCAAATTAATTTGAAAAGGGGATATTCTGATATTTTATATATTAGTTTAATTTTCTGTAATAGTTTAATTATTATATGTAATAACAGACATGTCTCAGCTTAAGACCTGTTTACTGTAGCCTTAAGGCAACAACTACCTTCACTGCATTACAGATCRGATCCCCAAATTATAAAAGCCCATTATTAAAAAAACACGCAGATGAAGGCAGATTGCAGRGCATGTTCTATAGTATCCAGACATATTTCACATTTTCATCATTTTGTACCCCTGCACCACTTAGCAGGCTGGGGCTAGGACTGTATTTCGATAACACAGTATCAGAGACTAAGACTTTATTTTGATAAATGAACATTGCACAGGACAATGATCCCTGGAGCCAATGGCTCGCCGCTGGAGTGCAGTGACAAGCACTGCTTTCGTGAACAGCATCACCTGAATRCTGCCAACGGAGGACACCCAACAGCAGCAGCAACGTTTATCTCCCATTTACGTATAAATGTTTACACGAAATGCACACTCCATGGCTCACAGCTTTCCTGATTATTTGATAAAATATCTTATTTCAAATGTCAGACCCTTGGGAAGAGAAAAGCAGACGAGGGCATCAGAAGCCTGGCGCAGTGGGCGAAAGGCAGCGTGGGCGAAACGACGCCAACGAGTCCCACACTGTGCAAGGAAAGGAAGTCGTGAGAAGCTGAATCGTGCTTCCACTTTCATAATCTTTGATTTTCATGCCCTAAGAGCTGCGCCCCAGCAACTGGCAGCGTTTCGACATGTTGCTTCTCATCCCACATGACTCACTGACATGTCGTGTCCTAGTTAGCCGCTTACATTCTTAAGGAATTATTAATTCCTGATTCATTAAAGAGAAAAATGATTCAAAAGAATGAATGGTCATCAATTAAACTGCAACTAAAGCTTTCATCTTTAGTGTATTAGATGTGAAGATTTGTTGTCCTTCAGACTAGTTGGCATTTCACACATTAAATTCCTATTGAAAGCTGTTTCAAGTAAAATGAATTCAGTATTTCTACTCATCCATTTACAGCTATATCTGCTTTGTTACAAAGACACAAAATAATACTCAGTAAAATAAAAATATTTATTGAAATTGTATCGTGACTATCCAAGACAGTCTTTGCTTCAATGACATATTTAGAATATTTGTCTAATTTTTTTCCCTTGATAAAAGACCTTTATTTTGCTGTGGCTGATGTAAATCAGTAGTCRTGCTAATGAATTAATGCCTCATAACAATCTGAAAAAACCTCAAGACCTCAAAGACCTTGGAACCTCAAAGAGCAATTCACTAGCTCACTACTCAGAGAAGCTAGGGGAACTTAACGCCAAAATATGTTGTGCCTTCTCGTAAAAACAGATTTTTTCAAAAGAATTGCAGAAGTCAGAATTGGCATCTAATTTCCAGACATGTGATGGCAGTTCTTTCCCTTTAATTTATTAGCTTACTTTGTTATTCTCTAGCTCCTTCTCCTTGCTGTAGGCCAGCTTTGTGGTAACAGTCTGATGATGGACAAGGGTTTGACGCTGTCATAAGTGGCAGCTGTGAAGGATTCTGGCGTGAAGGAATCTCTGGCCCCTCCAGCGTAACAGTAATGCTGAATTGCACCAGGCAGCTGAATCTATTTGAAACTTGCTCCTTGTCATCAATGTCCATGTGATAAACATGGGGCTTGTTGAATTTTCAGGCATTTGTGATATTCAGGGAAAACTACAAATTAAGATAACCTCAAAGTAGCTACCCCAAAGCTTCTCTTAATTATTCCAATGAGGAGGAGGAATCCTTAATTATCCTCCTCAAATTTTAACATTCCTTGTTTTCAGTTTTCATGCCCTGCAGAGTAGACCCAGCCTGTATCTCAATTCACATGCTGTCACTCCATTCTTTTCTCACTATGTTCTGCATAAATATAATACTGCTCTTGYTGTTTGTCAAGAACCTACGCACGTGCCAGCTCCTAATGTTTTTTTGCCATGTACTTCTGCTGCCTCTTACTACTGTGACAAATGCCTGGAACTTCCACCTTAAAACTCATTCAAAGATAGACATAAGTGCCAAATTACCCCAAGGAAACAAAATGTATTCAACTCCTTAATTTAAGACCCATTCCACCAGCTCAGCTGCTACAAAATTAAATGGCAATCTAACACACACCAGCATTGCTTGAACATATGACTTACAAACTACAGCAAAAATCTATGCACCTTTTCATGGTCACTGCTGGACTTCCTTTCTTCATGGTGGGGGAATATTTGGGAAGGCCTCGTTAATTGGCCCCATTTTCAGTTGTCTTCCCATGTTCTTTAAGTAATTCTTGAGTATCTCCAAGCTTGACATCAGTTGTTCTTATAAATTTATTTGAGATAGACACTCAGAATAATGCTTTCTTTCACAGAAAAACAGAAAAACATTGTGTTTTTCACAGAAAAAACACTGTGTTTCCCAGAGCTAAAAGTGAAATCTTGAGAACAGAATGGGAGTTCCTATTCCTATATGTTATTTGCAAACAAGCACTCATTTTCTTTAAAGCAAAACACAGGCACTCTTAGCTGCATGTGTGTGCATGAACATGTATGTATGCACATGCGCATGCACTCACACCATCTCTCAATATATCTACCTATCACCAGGCAAGATATATTAATCAAACATTATGTTTTACAGAGACAAAACATGTCCCTTTGTCATAACAGATTTTCAATGCCTGCTTTACCAACAGCTACCGTCTCCATTCATGTTGTTTTCCAAATCAGGAATATTTTTTCTTTTTTACTGTAATACAGGGTGAAGATGTTATTGCACRTGCCATCTAATAAACAGAGAAAAGCATCTTGAAATGCAAATGCCATAAAAGAAAGTCTGCAATTCACTGAAGGAACATAGATGATGCCTTAGAAAACTTAATCTGAACAAAGTATTCTAGTTTGATTCACTTGTAAATGTGCTCTTTGGATAATTGATAAAGCAAAAGTTCCATCCAGCTTGTATGAAACAGAAAATCAACYTACCTTTGGACCTGAGGGGACAAGTGAAAGGTCATGCAGTTCAGAGGAGATGTACAGTGCAGTGGTGCAAGGGAAAAAGACACCTGAGAGGAACTATAAAACAAAACCTTAAAGGACTCTGAACCACGTTATCAGCACGCGTGCCAAAGGCCCCGGCCTTTATCAGTACAGCGAATCTTACATCACACTGTACAGTACAGAAAAGAGAGTAATTTTACAAATGCTCCAAACGATGTATAAAGCACAGAGTTACCGTGCTGTTCCCTGGTCACTTTTCCTCATCCCTTGCACAGATGTAATTAGACACGACACTTTTCAAGCCATGCAAACTCTAAACATGGGCAAAGCTACAGAGAGGTAGCATTAATCGCATAGCTGAGGTGGAGGTTTTTTACAGAAAGGATATTTTTTCAGCATGTAGAGAGTAGCCAGTCTTGAAGCTCGGAAGTTGGCTCTGACGGATCGATAAACAGCTTTGCGGAGACCAAGGAGCTGCTGACTGGGATGCTGTCCAGCTTTATTAAATGGGCAAGCGGCACTGACCCTGTCAAGCAAACTTGAAAAGTAAAATGTGATACAACTGTACAGATGTCCTAAAGTATTTTTAAAAGACAGTACATCAGCTTGCATATTCCATTACAGTATTTATTTTTTTCAAAATGGTTCAGGAAGCACATGAGCAAAATAATTCTTTCACAACAAAACCAATTTTAATCAAAAATTTAGATAAGAGGCTTGGATTCTTCATCAGAGGACCCAATTCTATACTCATCTGAGCCATGGCAAAACTTGTGTGGACATTTTTGTTCTCCCAAGTTCTCCAAAAAATACACTGAAGTCAGTTGGGCCATAACATTATCTCTGATACTAAACTACCTCAGGCCCACTGTAAACTTCTTAAGTTTACAGAAACCAGATCTACTTAACACTCACCTCTATATGCAACTTAAACTTTTTGCTATATAAATCATTTTTGCAGAAAAGAAAAGCAAGTGCAACTACTTACTGTTATTTGTGCAAAACATTATTTTCTCTCAACTTTCTCCCTCCAGAATTTTACTGGCAGTAAAGTACATACAAGAAAATAATATCCAGTTGTCTCTCTTCATTTAAAGAATGATTCCCAACTAARGCTAGGAGTCTGACAATAGCTTTGTTAGGCTCTCCTTGCTGGTACCACTTCTACCCGAATGGACGTGGTGCGGATAGCCTGGGGAGGAGGAGCCTGCTCTGGCTGTCACCCTTGCTGGCCTAAGACAAGGATGTGACTTTGTGTCTTCAGGCTCCGAAGAAAGAAAAGAGAAAAAAAAAGGAAAAGGGGAAAAAATGAAATAAAAAGGAAAAAGGAAAAGAAGAAAAGAGAAAAAAGGAAAAAAGAAAAAAAGAAAAGAGAAATAAAAACAAAAGAGAAAAAAAGGAAAAAAGAAAAGAGAAATAAAAACAAAAGAGAAAAAAGGAAAAAGATAAAGGAAAAAAAAAATGAAAAGGGGAAAAAATGAAATAAAAGAAGAAAAGAGAAAAGAGAAAAAGGAAAAAATTAAAGAGAAAAAAAGGAAAAAGGAAAAAGAAAAAAAAGGAAAAAGAGAAAAAGGAGAAAAGAGAGAAAAGAGAAAAGAGAAAAAAGAAAAAAAAAAAAGAAAAGCCTTCCATCCGAGCCCAGAGCTGACTAAGCCAGCAGCACACTGGCTCTGCTGGAGAGTTGGTCCCACTGCACAGCTTTAGCTTGCCCGTGTTGTGCACTGACGGGGCGGGTGCAGAGCTTACGGCCTCGCACTGCCGAGGAGGAGAAGCAGTGCAGCCCACGCAGGGAGCAAGGCTGGGCCTGGATCAGAATATTAGGTAGCCTAGTGCAAAGGAGGATTATGCCAAATAGCTACATGCTAAATACACAAGCTACATGCTAAATACCCTATACTACATTAAAATATCATCAGAGCATATTAAAATATAAAAGTGATATTGAAATAATTTACATAACRTTTCGTAAACATAGAATATTTTAAAATACATACAAAAAATCAAATGATGTTAATTTAAGCCTCTAAAGTTAACAATATTAAAGTGCTAGTCATGCTCTAAGTTTCACTTGGGAATGCAGCATGTATGTGGCAACCTCCGGTATTTCCTAGCTGTAGGAGGTAGCAGTTGCAAAAGTTTATGCAGGACTCTCCTGTCTTGGAGTTTGTAGGCTCAGGTTCTGGGTGAATGTGAGAAGCAGGTCCGAAGAAGGAAAGCACAACTATTCTACTACGAAATCCAGAAACCAATCCATGTTCTGCTACARCAGCACAGGCATTTCCAGCTCCTCTATCGCACAAATACTGCACAACTCATATGCAATGTCAGTACTTAGCAAAATAATTCGTTTCGCTTCTGGGAAGGTTTGCTTCAGTGCTATTAATAAAATACTTCTTTATTCCAGTAACGTTAAATTAATGTAATATGGTGTAAGTTTCTGTGTGTCAGCCATGCCACATCCCTCCTAATACTTCTTTTATTTTCTATTCACTGCAACTGGCCTTACAAAATGCTACCAGCATTGCGTATAACACACAAAATGGGAAGAAGCAATCCTTCCACTTTACTAACACTGCTTTCCGCTTTCCYGGCTTTCTGCTCGTTGCCTCACGGTGTCATCCCCTCCGCTCTCATTGCGCAGCAGCAAGAAACTCCCTGTCACCGGCCCGCGGAAACTCGGGGCTCCCTCGGGGCGCCGCGGAGCTGCGGGAGCCACGCGCTCCGCCTGCGCCAGGAAAACGCATTCCCTGTTCCCGGCGGGAGCCAGTGCCAGGAAGCCACATTCTCCACTCCCGGTGGGAGGCAGTGCTGGGAAGCCACGTTCCCTGTTCCTGAAGGGAGCTGAGGCGCCTTGGCCTGGCACAGCCTGTACGACGGCAGTGTCCGACCATTCCCAAGGCTGCTCTGCAACTGGAGCAGTTGGTTGCTTTGGACAGCAACTGAGGTAAAAGAGGCCACGAGCAGTTCTTACTGTCCTTTCTGAGTGGCTGTTGTGTTTTTTGGGGCATGGGAGGGGAAAATGAAAAGGCAAAATGACAAYGGGTGAAGGCAAAATGACATTGTAATGGGTTAGACAAAGGAGAATTGACCAAAATCTTGTCGAGGTTCATKCACATTTATAGACAGCCTAGAATCAATTAACCAGGGGCAAGGGGGGGAGAATAAAGCAAAGCCACAGTTCTCTTAAAGAACGTGTACGTTAGGCTATGAGAATGCAGCAATGCACTGTGCAGGGCAGAGAAGAAACTGCTGTGGGATGTAGGCAGAGCACTGTAGGCCCACCTGGAGTTCTGACAGAAAGAGCTTAGTGCGAGTACAACCGACCTATTCCTGGACTCAGTGTATTTAAACGTCAGCCAAGGTATCTTTCCATTCATCACCTGGTTTATGCAGAGGCCGGATCATGCAAAGCTAACAGCATATTAAAAGAGCAGCGTACATGTCAGCGGGCAGAGTACTCTGCTAGCTGGTGGAAATCCCACACAAAATTCCTTCCTAAAATGGTGCCAGATGATACTCCACCTTTTCAGGCACCACCAYCTCCAGTGGCACGTGACGCTCTCTGAATAACCACGAAGACTTTGACAAGGTGATTACTGGAGACAGGCTAAACTTTGCTGAGGTTTACCGTAGCAAAAATCTGGCAGGCAACACTGCACAACTACCTTTTCGGATGATACACAAAGTGTTACCTCGTGCAAAGAATTCATTGTCCTGCACAGCCACATCCCTTACATACATGGATGCAGAAAAGGGCACACCGGACTTAGAACTTCGCCCACACTAAGCCAGATCAAAACCTGTAGAGCCTTCCTCATATCCGGCAATTATTCCAATGTGGAGGCTGGCACAGCTAGACTTCTCYCCCCCCATCCATACTCCACGATCTCTTAAACAGCTTGCCAGAGTCTTCTACAAAGCGGCTACTAGATCAAGCATCAGCTTATAGACAGTCTGCTTTCTGTTAATCTGTTATCTAAGATATGTCGTAAACGAACAAGGAACTAGCCATTTAGACACTGACCACAAGTTCATTTGCTTAAGCCTAGGAAAAAATCCAAATATTTTTCTCATCTGTAATTCAGACAAGCCCTAACAATAATTTCGTTTAAGAAGCTGTTCGCAAAGATAAGACTGACTATTGCTTAACTATATGCTTCCTCAGCAAAAAAAAAGAAAAAAAAATATAGCTAGGCAGACTTAAGACATGCTTTCACATTCCAAAGGGAGAATAAAATATTTCTTCAGAAAAGCCTAATGAAGGTATCTCAAGCTAATAAAAGAAGAAAATTAATTCAAAATGTGAAGTCTAGAGTTTCCAGCCTGCATGCAACAACATGTGCTGGAGAGCAGGAGAGTTGATCTGGCATGAACAAAAAAATCTCTTGGTGCACACAGGAAAAAATTTATCGTTTTCAGAAAGAATCCAACTGGATTTTAGTTACTGGCATTTCTCAACTCCTTTAACCTCAAGTGTAACTGGCTCAGGTACCTTTCTCACAATAACTTGCTGCGAGGGCAAAGGACCCTGGCAGTGAAACTGCTCACAAGCAGCCCTTAGCCTGCAGCATCAGTGCACACACTGGGCACGTCCCGGGGTCTGCAACACTGCGAGTGTGCCATTAGCCACAGGGGCTCAGCAACCAGGGACACTCTCATATCCTGTAAGTGCAGAGAGGCAAATTCAACAGCAAATAACTGAAGGTTCTCAATATCTCAACAGTTGTATGCAAGAAAAATAAGTGTTTAAAATTTCTCTAAGGGGGGAAATGACCTTTCATGGTCTGCTTACTGTGTTCTCATTACTTCAGACTATTATTACTTAAAAAAATAGTTTTTATCTTGTACTAAARTACTAAAATATTTTTATATATAAATACAAAATTAGTACTTTTAGGTTTATTTACACTGACTTGAGAAGTTACTAAAAATAAAGCTCCTGAAAAATTCTAACTAACTTGGTTCAGAGTCCATTTCTCTCATTTATTTCACCAATAGCACTGGAGACTTCCAAAAGGCTTAGCTGCCCATTTCAGATAATTTTGGAAGACTTAGTTCTCCCCCAGGATGCACAGTTTTAACACCTTCTATATTGATCAATATAACAGTGGTAATTATACTATTCCACAAAAGTGAAAAGCTGTAAGTACTGCGTTTCTCAGTAATTCCCCTTGCTGTGCGTAACGGGACCACGTTAGAAGACATCTGCCTTGAATGGATCTGTGCCTTAAAGTGCAATATAGACTCACAGGGTAAATCCTCTGGAAATGACTTCAGTCTCTTGGATGAGTCGCAGAGCCTTTCTCACGAGATTGGTAAAAGCTCGGCTATTTGCCACCGTTTCCTCCAGCTGAAGGCAGTGCTTTCGCAGGGCCATCTGCAGCTTGGCTGTCCTCCACGTGCCCCACAGGCGCAGGGAGGCGTAGGCGAGCAGGAGCAGTCCCCACAGCAGCCCCGAGGCCTCCTCGCACCACGACGGGAGCGCAAGCAGCGCGCTTAGGAAGGCGAGCAGCAGCGAGACGTCCCTGCCGAGACAGAAAGCAGCATCGCCCACACGTTCCCGAGCTCAAACAAGGMGGGAAAACACCCAGCACCTGAGGACAACGTTTGAGATTTTCATATGGGGCTTTCRGGCAGGTTCTGAAGGGAGCCGTAAATACCAAAGCCAACACCTAAGGGGCAGATTCAGACACATAACGCCTGACATTGTTGGTTAGTACATATTACATCACAGTCGTATTTCTTTGTTTGTTTTTAATGACACAAGTGGAGGAATGATGCACCATTTTGACAGGTGGGTTTATACATACGACTTTAAAAAAAAAAGTCCCTACTCAGCATTTTGAGCAAGGRTGGGTGGAAACTGGAATATCCGTATTTCCAGGTTCAAGAGGACAGTAGCAAAGGGCATGTTTCTTTTGGGCAATGAAATCCTCAAGTAATGACAGATTTATTTTTTTCCAGATTCTGACTCATTTAACTTTGACACCAACATATCACTAGCTTTTATACACATTTTAAGAGAGACGTCTTCATTAATCATTCCAAATAACTTGCTGGCTTTTAAAAATCCTGAACAAATAAGAGTCTCCTATCAACTGTTTCTCAGGGGCATTTTTAAAACTTCATAAAACTTTTATTTTCCTTTAGAAAGGTAAAATAACAATGGATGATTGCTGTAAAATAAACTGTGCTTTATTCCTAGTATTCTAAGAGTAATTTTGTAAAACTACAATTTTTACAGTCTTGTTCTTCTGTAGGGAAAGAGGCTTCAAGATTTGAAAMAGTTATTTAAAATATTTTTAATAAAAAGACTTATTTTTTTACCCTTTAAAGCTGTGTATCCTATATACTTGCTCTTGAAAATATCTACAAAGAACACTTCCACATTTCCAAATCAAGAAATGACTGCTAGACTTTAAAATTCTGGATACTTTTGTGGGCATATTTCATTAATTAATTAATAATTACAAGAATTAACTCTTCATTGGTTCTCATTGGTTTCCGTAAAAGTCCAAGGTTAAAACATTCCAAAGATGGAATAGACTTTAGAAAGGACAAACATAGTCTTAAGACTATGCTACAAGCGAAATCTTCTCTAGGCAAGAAAGAACCTTTCATTTATATGGCATTCATATTTTTCCATAAATTCTTTGGTATATTTGAAAAAAAAAAAAACATGAAAAATGAAGGATTTAACAAACCAATAGGTCCAATTTCAGCTTTGAGACAGATTTCAGTTAATCTAGACTGTCAATGACAAACTGTAGAGACGCAGAAAGTGAGGATTCCCTAAGCCACCTAGTTAGCTATGCCAGTTAGCTATGCTTAACTACTTTTACGGTGCAGATTTCCCCCAAGTCCAATGTGAATCACTGGCAAATGAAGCCAATTTTTTCCCCTCATATCCTTCCCTTTTGGCCACTGAATGGATAATGACTGATCACCACCCTCTTCTCTAATTACCTCCTGCCCATAGGAAGATGTTCCTTCCCTTCCTCAGCCTTTTGGCTAGACAATCCCAGCTCCCTCAAACATTCCCCAAAGATTCTGTTTTCCAAATCCCTTATTCTTATTGCTCTGCTTGGCCTCTGCGCAAACTACCTAAGCCTYTCAGCATGTGGCATCCAAAACCAGATGTTCTAGCCTGACAGTGAAGCAGAGAAGTGTAATCCTGTGTTTGCATGGAACAAGGATTCCAGCATGAGATTTCCCATTTTTAGAATGATTTCCCGTCTCATTTAATTTACACTCTAYTATAAAGGGTAGATCCTTTCCCGAAGCAGTACTCTCTACTCAATTACTCCCCACTTTGTGCTTGTTAATTTAATTCTTCCTTCTGCAGCACAGCACTATACACTTGTCTTTATTGACTTCCCTATCGATTTCAAAGTAACTCCAATTTGGCATCCTTCTGAACCTGCTCAAACACAGGAAAACTTGGTGACATCTCTAAACTGAGTGATACCCACAAATTTTCTAAGTGTCCTTTGCAACTCAAGCAGTTAATGAAACAATTAATAGTGTGAGGACCAGGACAAACCACCTCCCTCTTGATTCCTGTCTGTTCCTGAGCACATCCCTCTGCCAAGACCACCCACCACCCTTCTCACTTCTCCAGCACAGGAAATAGCTGTTTAGACACTGCTGCAGTGAAATCCCTGAGCATTTAAGGGTGAATTTCACTAGCCTCTAATAACTTTAAAGTATCTTATTGCAATGTTTAGTCTGTTCTGGCATTCTACAGCTGTGAAAATTAATTGCTCAAACACAATTAATGTATCTTATAAAGACCACAGCAAAGCTGGCACTGATTTACTATTCTTCCTCACAYAGTATTACGAGCTCTATTCCTCATATTTCTATGTCATCACTTTCATCCAAATTCCAGTGCAGAGACCAAAAGCGCTCAGTGAAATTAAGAGGACACAGAGAGAGCAAGACTGATACCTGGTATTTCTGCCTCCCTTCTTTGTTGTTAAGGGTTCTAAGTTATCAGAGCCCCCTTAGCGAAGTCCATTTGATTATTGCAGCAGTCTCTTAGTCATATAATCCAACAATTTTAAAAAGAGTTATTTGAGAAAGATGGCAGTTTCTTAGTTAACTATATAGGCAAACAACAARACAGGTTTATCCTCATTACTCAGAACCAAATCTAAAATGGGTGCTTCCCTAAATAACTGCCTTTATTTTGGTATTGTTGGACCTCCTCCTGTATTCCAGAGCAAGGAAAGCAAAATTGCTTCGCTTTTTCCCATTGCATCTGTTAAATTCTTCTGTATCAATATTTACATTTCCCATTGCTAGTCTTTCTTGAACCAAACCCTCTATTCTAGTGCTCCAATACTGAGACATTCAGATATAGGTGTGATTAACTGTTAATAGACCTATGAACTTGTGACTAAAGCACAGACTGTAAATCCCTTTTATGGTACTAYATATACTACACTCATATGCTCTCATAGTGTGTGTGTGGTGTGTGTGTGTATGTGCAGGATGTAGGTACTCCAATCACACTTGTCTCTACAGTCTGTGTACACAAATAGATTACACAAATAGATTAAACTGGCATGTGGCAGATGATCACTACCCAGGCGGGGGTTAAACGGAGACTGCCCTGTACTCAGAGAACTAAGAGAAGATCCCTTAGCAAATTATTAAACAATGTTAAATAATTTAGTACAACTTCAGTCAGATACTTTTCAACTCTGCAATGGAATATCCACTTCCAAATCCCCACTGCAGAGCTTCTGAAATTAAATCAGCCATGTCACTTTTTCCTTCATAAGGGTTTGCAAGTATCCATTCATGCTCACCTTTGGCTAAAATCTACTCCTCAGCACAATATCCAGGGAAAAAACACACTTATCCAAAATTTGGGATTAAAAGACCAGAGTGAAACAAAGACTCAGGGGTTATAGACAAAACCAGTTACTTTCTTGTGGCATTTCACACCAAGAACACAATCAGTTTTCTTGCTTCTCAGTGAATAGTCACACGCATGTTAAACACAGTACCAAATATTAGGAGTTGCTAGGGAGCGCAGGGTTGGAAGCCGTCCATTTTCCTGTTGCCTGCACTGCCCTGCAGACAGGATGCTGGGGTCAAGCAGCTCAATCAGCTCCACATCCTCCTGCAGCAGAACTTCCTGCTGCAGGATGGTACGGACTGTGTCACACCGAAATCCAACATCCTTAACAAAAACGGACAAAAAAGAGAAAAACAGGCATTAATGGAGAATATGCACATTCTTAAGATTAAGTTGTTAAACTAAAGAAACCACGCAGTTTCTTCATTTTTTCAGTACTTCACACAGAACTGTGTCTTCCAAGAGATCCCAGCAATATTTCAGCTACAWCAGAACTAGCCACCTCATTTCTTTCTACTGTATCTATTAAAAGATCTATAATAAAACTAAAATAATGTTTTCTTTCTAATATTTRCAGTAGCAAACTAAAAAAAATGGGGGGTAAAAAGAGGTATTACAAAAGTCAGCTGTAGCCTATTTAAAAACAGTGGGGTCAATGAGCTGGACTCAAGTTCCCCACAAGGCAGTGAAGTTCTCTACTGCACAAGTCTATGACCTTTCCCAAGGGAACTTGATTTCAAACATAAAATAGCATGGGACCCTGGAGACCTCACACTTCCAAACTCAAGGCAAAGTTCAGGGAGTTACTCAAGGATCTGATGTTGTCATAAGCATTAGCTATTTTGCCCTGTAGCTACAGCTCTTCAAGACAAATACACAGCTTCTGAACACAAATACACACATTAGAGAAGCCCTCTGAAACTTTAATTTGCATATTGCAGCAAATTACAATTACAAAACACTTCAGTTTAAAAATACCATAATACAACCCAACAAACACCGAACATGTGCATCTTTGTGTCTAGTGGGATTATGGAAGGGAAAGGCAAATGTTTCTATAATAGAGCTCCCCCTGACAGAAGTTTGAAATTTCACAGTAGAAAATCCTCTCCAAAATTACTTACAAAAGAGTAAACTAGCTAGTTGAAAATCTAATTCCATACATTGATGCTATCGTGGATAATTTGCATTCCGCATTTACAGAAAAAGTTTTGTTTCACAACTGCATTCAAGAGAAACTCACCYCTCCTGCAGCACATCCTGTGCCACTTCAGTACCCTACGGTAGCGTGTAGCAGGAGAAACATGTTTTCCATACCCTTTGGTTGTGGCAGAAAGTAAGATAATGGCTTTACTTAAAGGGGAAGAGGGATTAAGAAAAAAGAACTATTCAGTATACTGAATCTGTTCCGTAGATATTTCAGAACACTGAAGAGATTCAGAGGAAATTTTGTCTTCTAGAGATAAGGGTGAAGGATTAGCAATTAGACTTGGCAGATCTCTCGGAGAAATGGAAACCGCTAATATCCCATGTGACTTGACATTTTATATTCTGAAACTACACTGGAATACATCATTCCTATATCACAGGAGAAAAAGGCCAAACTCTCAGCTCTTTAGATTCTGGGACACTCTGACTAATATGACATATCTAAATGAAAATGATATAAAAAGTAGGGCCAAAGCAGGTTGTGTATATCTGGGCTAGCCAGATGCTGTTTCCAATAAAAGCAAATAGGGACTCTGGCTTCTCCACATTAATGTCTGCCATTTATTAAGTTTCACAGAGCCACAAAACCAGAGGCCCACTGCAAATTCTTCAGCGAAAAAGCATCCTAATCATGGACCTAATCATGGTCATCTATAGACCATATATAGTCTATAGACTATCTGGTCTATGAGACCAGACAGACCAGATAGACCATCCATCCATGGACCATCTATGTATGACCTGACATAACCTAAGACAAAGGTGTACCTAGATGCTTTTGCATTGTAACTATTGCAAACAGGATTAGGAACCAGAAGCAGCTGGGTGCAAGTTCAGAAGAACTCAAGAGTAGCCTASGACAGAATCTGAATCTGCTAGAAAGGGCCATAAAGAACAGACATAAAGGCAACATAAAACTGTTATTAACTATCTGATATTTACACCTTCACCCTTTGGGTCTACCCCTACATAGACAGACTTGTGCCCTAGAAGAAAACTCCTGGCAAAGTGGGGGGAGTTCAGAATGCCATTCCGAACTGCAGGGGAAGAGTGCATAGGGAACACAGAGAACTGCTCTTCCCTCTCCTGGTAGTCAAACCAGAAAGACATTATCTGCATTAACTGTTTGGAAGCATTATAATGGGGATGTCTTAGTTGGGTTTTCATCAGTGTTTTCCCAAATACAAAAGCACTGTGCAGAGCTGTGCCAAAACACATGAGCTGGGCTGGGCTATGGGGTAGGACAGCTGCACAAGCATGGCACCTTGCCTGAGCTAACAAGTTGAAAGAGGTGGCGAAGAAATACTCAGCTGAAGCCCTAGATCCTTCTGTCTTGAGCTGTGTCTGYGAGGCACTGGAAGCACTGCGACACATGGACTTCGCGGCTCAGGGTCTCTGCACAGCCTTCCACTCCATGGTACAGTTACAGTGCACCTTAACTCTTCAGCTTTCAACAACTCCTTTAACTTTTCACAATCTCATCCACATTTTGAACTAYTTTAATCTGACTACCGATATTTTCCCCTGATTTTCTGTGACTAATTTGCTTGACACAATTTTCCAAAAACTACAGTGGCTCTGAAAAAAAAGTCAATTACGTTATCTTAAAAGTAAGCAATCTTCTTAGAACCCAAACCAGCAAATAGGGGCCAAGGACGTGCTCTGGGGACAAGGTACGAAGGAAAAGAAGACTTCTGGATTAGGAACAGAATTTTTTTTAAAAAAGCAAACACTTACCAGTCGGTGAAGAATGTCATCATTTTTCTTATACTGGGGAAAAGGAAACCAACTTCTAAAGACCTCAGCTAGCTTCGACAGGATGCCTTGCTGAAGGGAACAAAAATTACTCTGATTAAAAAACAAAGCAAAATATAAATAAAAATCAAACAACTCCTTTTTTTATCCATTTGCCTCTCTTGTTAGCTCAAAGACACAAGTACCTGTAAGGAAGTTTCACTTACTCTATCTGGCCTAACTTCAGAGTATGCTAAGGCAACATCTGCTTCCGGTCAGCTTGCCTGTACATGACAATGTGAAATAAAGCTTTCATTAACCCCACCTAGTCRAAGTGTAATCACACTTCTGCACAGTTAAAAATAAATACAGAGAGGATTAGTCTCATCTCAGGTTGGCAACTGCTGCGCAAACATGAAATATTCTTTCTTTCCTTGAGGATAAAAAAAGCAGTGACGTTAAATGGCTGACAGAGACCAGAGAAGTAAAAGTCCAGATGAGGAACCACCTTATCAGGTTCCTCATCTATAAAACTCCACAGCCTGAGGTAGGACTCCAGAAGATGAGTCAACAGAGGCAGGGAAGAGCGATGACAAGGACAGAGATTGCCACCAAAACAACCTGTCACATCTCCATCCTGTTCAACCTCTCCATCCTGTTTCAATCTRAATCCAGACTTGCATCCGAGCTGTCCATGTAACTTTGAAAACTACTAATTCAGAGGGACTCTCTCTCCGTCATCACACATTTTACTCAAGCATCTTTCTAGAATACAAAGCGTGGAAGATGATAATTGAATGGATGCATGATGGTTCTGCAGTCAATTAGTGACAAAAAATGATTTTTTTTGATTTTCTATTTTTTGATTATCTATTTTTATCAGACTGAGTTGACAGGAAGTATTTTTCAAAATATTTACTTATATAAGTTTGATAAATTCTGAGGCCCTAACTCTTAATCTTCAAACCTCTCATAGGTGATACAATTGATTGAAATGCATATCAAACAATGGAACGGTTGAGCGCTTAGGTTTTCTGGCATAGTGTTTCAAAAAAATAATCAATCACAAAAATCTAACCTGTAAGGGTGTTTGCAGTMAATAAACATCTTCCTTTTTCACTTCTTTTAATTATTTTTTAAGCAAGGGAAGTATTAAACTGCAAGTCAACACGCATGGCTGTGGAGACAGTCTTCCCCAGAGGAAGCAACACCCAGGTCGGGAACTCTGCCATGCCAGGTACAGAGCTTTTCCAACTGGAACTACAGAAACACTTCCAGGGCAGCGGGGTGGGAAGAGCAATACAGAGTTCTCCATCAGGGCTCCAACTATGAGCCTGGAAACAGCAGAACGAGACTGAGCATCAGAATTACGGGGCTCTGCGCCTAGTGCCAGGGCAGGGCTCGGAGGTAAAACAACCAAGAGTCCCCGTTGGATGTCCCTTTGAACGCACAACAGGCGTTTGAAGCAGCAGGCCAAGCCAGAATGGCTTTGAATACCATCAGAAGCCATCAGCCTAAAAGTTTTTTGCTTCACAGAACAATTTCTAAAATAATACACTTAGGTAAYGTAGCTTGAGTTTTCCTTTGCACGTGCCTCATCCTTCAGCGTACAGTTAGAATTACACACCCATTCCCAAAGCATTTTTTAGGTCAGTGGAGAAACAAACCAATACTACAGGTTTCCTAATGACAGTTCTCTTGGGTACACAGATATCATCACGGCCTATTGAGAGAAGCTGTCCCAACAATCAACACTTCTGACACTGCGGAATAAACCCCTGGCAGGATTTCAAACGTGTTGAAGAATATTCTTTCAAGAGCAGTTCTGGATAAGGCATTGCTAAATTACAAGGCCTGTTCCAGGGCTAATTTCTATCATTACTATTAGTAAGGATAGGAGAAGGTAAGAACAAAATTCTCTGCCATTACTTGAGAAAAGAGTTTGTTCTTGCTCAGAGGCACTTGCCTAAACCTGAAAAGGAAGAGGAAAATGCATCTCAAACTGCCCACTAGATCATCTTTCAAGGTAAAGTCTCCTGTGAAGTGGTGAAAAATAAACCAAAATGCAAATAATTAATAATTTGCAGAAAAACTGGTCTGAAGTGAATAAATGTCCTTGCCCTACCCTTGAGTGACAAACAGACACTCCACTCAGAAGTACTTTCCTCGTGTTTTGGAGGTGGATTACAGAAATAGAGACTAACGTTTTCAACAGCTCAGACATCTCAAGTTCTTAGGTTTCTCTAACAAGCATTTAAGTCTAAGCCACAAATATTTTTAAACCRCCACCAGCCAATTAAACCAGCCCATGGAACCACTGGAAATAAAATATGGGCCAATGTGCTAGCAAGCAATCTTTTGGTTTATAGCTCATGTTTTGGTTTAAAAATAAAAATCTGAGCTTGCATAAATACTCACCAGGCATGCCAGTGCTTGCAAACACAAAGCAAGACAACCTACTGTCTTGGGCTGTGACCCAGGAGTGTACAGTAACATACTGAATTATTCAGCTCTTTGGGAGAGTGTCTCACAGCTTGTGTTCCCATCGGGAGTGTTACTGACAAGTAAAACAACTTTCATCACCACACAAGTCGGGTCATGTTGCTGATGCTTCTGGCGTATTCATTTTGYAGCTTTACAACACAAGTCGGGCAAATAAGATCTCTGTACATTGGATAATAAAGGCATACAGCTTTAAATATTAAAAAAAAAAACAAACAGAAAAAGTTCTTATAGCACAGGAACTGCACATTTTAGGAATATGCACTTGAACCTAAAATAAAGTTCTTATGAACATTTCTCTTTTGTAGAGGASGAACCTGAAATGGCAAACTAGCAGGTATCTAAAATATCATCATGCATAAAGCATCTCTCTACTCTGCACACTTCACAAACAAGATAATACTACATATTAAGTACATATTATGTAGCTCCCAGGATTAGGTCAGTGGGAGCCCTAGATGAAGGCAAAGCAATGCAAAGAAATGGTGCCTCTGCCTCTCCACACCAAGTCACCTGCACAACTACCAAGGCATGGCCCCAACAACCTGCAGGAGCTGCTTGCAGCACCAGCCCCRATGTAGTGATTAAATATTGACACATCTAAGATGAGATAAGATGCAACGCTATAACCAAACAGAACTTTCATTCACACACAGCAGTCTACCAAATGAGTGATAAAGTGAAAAATAAAAATGGGATGAAATAAATAGCTTAACGATCAAGCAGAATTATTCAATTAGGTTTTAATTGCAGAAAACAGGTATAGGAACTCTTGCAGTGCTTCTGAACATCAGGAGATCACAAGATCYAAAGTTAAGTGTAACATTCGCCACAGATTGGTACAGTCATGAACACTGTACCTATCACTGCCACACTAAATGGTATCTCTTACTGCCTCAGAAGGAAGAGTGGCATTTCAGCAGTTGTCAAAACACAATCTTGAAGCACTTTTACAGTTTTCATCCCGATGTCCATCAAGGCCATGCTTTGAGGACAAAAACGACCCTGCTCACTTTCTGTCTGCATCTCTAATTAAAGGCGAATCCTACCCACTGCTAGGCAGGACCCTGCAGCAACACCTGCACCAGTCACGGTTTGCCCGGTCCTTGAGGTCCAAACAAGATCCTTGCCTTGCCAAATGCTTGCTGCATCTCACCAGATCATATCTCACCAGGATTCCTCCTTGATGGAATACAGCAGGAGAAAACAATCTCAGCTCTTTTTGAGAGACATGGGAATATTACAGATTTCCTAATAGGCCTTTTCTACTACCAGCTGACAGCCTAGGGAGAAATAAAAGAATCTTACTTATCTCTTTTGGAGCTTTTTCCAGTCAGAAAGACTCCTGCATCCAAAAGGACAGACACACAGTAGGAAAGCAAGAAAAAAAAAGAAAAAAAAAAAAAAACAGGTCACCGAATGGGATGCTCTCACTACAGATTTAATTACCCCTTGAAGAAAAGAGTATCATACATTATTTCAGATGCCAGAGTACTTGGGATCTAGCAGAAAGCATGGAGTGATAAATGGACAATTTATCCTAAGAAAGCCAAAACTTTCATTAGATCTGCTGCTGGTCTTAATTGAATTTACCATTAAATGTGCAGATGCTTTAAACACTTGAGATACTTTACTCTTTGTATGCTGGGCATCACTCAGAATGGAACATTGTTCCACTTCTTGTGATTATGCTATTTGAGTTACACCAAACCTCAATCAACATCGTATTAGATTGGACATGTGAGTCAAACCATCTGTTTCCCAGACATCTTATAATTTCAGTAGATCAGGCCAGCACAGGGTGCAAAATGGGAAGTGATAATGGTCTCAACTGAAAATGAGGAAATGACTTATTGTGAAATTAAATATCTTGACTGTATGTYGCAGAAGTTGCAACAGAGCCTCATATTCTCCCTAATCCAATCTTCTATTACAAATGCACAGCCAGCTGCCCCTCCCTCATTCCCTTTCCTTTTGAGGCACTCTACCAAACTGGAACACAGAAGCAGAAATTAAAGGACAAAATCAGACTTTCCGACATCAGAACACACACGAAAAGTTTCAGTGTTCCCAGATCGATACTAGAACCAACCTGGAAGAATCTACGACATTTTTCAGCTCCAAATTACACATAGGTTTCCTTTTCTTCCTATGTATTCTTGTCTAGACTGAGATGAGACATGAATGTCATCTGACTACTTGTAAGAAATGGACTACTCATTTTCACACACCCTCTACCTTCAAGTTACAAAGAAAATCATGATGAATTACTACTACAGCAGACACAAAGCCAGAGGACTTGCTCCCAACTTAATAAAATTACAAGGAAAATGCTCAAGGGGAAGGGAGGGAAAAAACACTTGAGGCTTTTGAAAAATTACAATACCACAAGGGCAGGCCTGAGTAGCAGGGCATACCATTACAAAATGCAGGAATGCTTACTACTATACAGTTATTCTTTAAACAGCAGCACCACAGGTTCTCTTTATTCCACGAGTGATGTTCCCGTAGGGATAATCACAGGCCTGCTCAATTGATATGCACCTTGTCTGTATCTTATCTACAGAGTCATCTTTGATGGGCAAGCGGGGCACGAAGGCAAGGCAGGTATGGAACAATTCCGTAGCATTCTAGGGTTCTGCACCTTAGGATCAGCGTCGGGAAGCAAAGCACCCAAGGTACCTGCCCCATCTGATGCTTACAAGCAAATTACGACTGACCTATCCATGCAAAAATAATCCAAAAGAGCCAAAGGTCACTGCAAAGCATTTCATATTTTACTAGCCCGTCTTTTCCAATGGAAATGAATGTGTGATGAACCTCATGTAGTCTAAACAGAGAGGGACTAAATGGAGAGCACTGTATGAAATTGCGACACACCAGCACTTCTCAGAGTATTGCTGGATGAATAAGATTCATACTTCAGCTTCAGAGACCATGGACACTGGTCCTTCTATGTATACCATACTACAAAAAAAAGTTTCAAGAATCACACATTCTTCTCCCAGATCAGAGAAAAAAAAGTCTAAGACTGATATTCTTCCTATCAATTCATGCACTTCCAAATTCTGCCCAAGAAAACATCCTACACGGAGTAGAACAAACTGCCTTGATGACCAGAACAGACTACTGTCTTCAAGCACAAGATGTCTTTGAGAAAGAAAAATCATATTATCAAAAACAAACGAGAAGCAAGACACACATAAAACTGATTTCTTTTTGTCAAAACAAAACTATTGTGAATACTAGCCAGGAAAGCCTCTGTCTATTGCAAGGGTAACTCCTTGAAATGTCTTGAGGACCAAGCAGTGGGTGAACATCCAGCTGGCATTACTTGAGAAAAGGTCCTTACAGAAGCAGACATGGGGCAGCTCACGCCGTTGCCTTGTGGTCCTCCCACCACACACGCATGCAGAGGCTCTCCCTGCTGGAGAACTCAGGGCCTTTCTTACCATCTCACCTAAYGTGGGGAACAAACAGGACGCCCTACGCAGTTTGCTGCCAACTAATCCAGAAGGTATTGGAAGAGAAGTACGGAAGCAGCAGTTGTATAAGAGAAAAGGGATGGTGAAACTCTAATTTGAAGGTGGCAGAAGAGGTATAAAGAGGAAATGCATGTAAGGATAAAATGGTCCCTAGAAGAAGGTTAAAAGCAAGAATCAAGTGGCAGAGAGAGGGGAGAAAGGTTGATTTTGGGAAGCAACAAGTCAGTCCAGGACCGTTTGTTTTAGGTTCTTACCTGTGAGGTTCTCTGCTCCCCTACAGCCCGCAGTGGCCTGGACAGAGAAGTCTGCATGAAGGCCTCTTTATTCCTCCTGGCTTAGCACATAGCTGGAGCATGTCCACTGAAAACTGAACTCTCCACTGCGGAAGAGAAAGACGTAGGCAGAAAATAACTGCTGTTTGCATGCTCCATCTAGGTGCTAAGAAGACAGACTGACTACTGAATTTTCATGACACTTGCCACTTTTGGGATCAGCAAAGAGATTCCTGCAATAGCTAGGGCAAAAGAGGAATTTCCTGATCCACACTGCGGCTCCTCATGTGATTCACATGGCCTACACACTCTTAACAGAGGTAGATTACCCTTTTTTTTTAACAGGGAAAMCAAAAAATGTGTAGTTCAAAGTATGTCTTCAATAGGCACACTAAGGTTGGAGKATTTTTTTTAAGACTTTCTTCAGGCTCTTAATTCTCAAGGATAATTTTAATACTACAATAATAAAAGAAAAATCCACAAGCCTACATTTAAAAAGAAACAGTCTGAGCTACTCRGCTGATGATGCTCATCAGCTCTACTGTTACATTTCCATAACCTAAGCACAGCTCTGCTATCTCATTCAGATTGGTTATTTATTTATACTTCCCAGAAATCCTCATTCCTCAATGTTTAGTCACAATGTAAGTGGTATTTAACAACCAAATGCCTGAGAAGGGCTGGGAACTATAAATATTTTCTTCCAGAAAATTACAGGTCTTTTTCATAGAATGCCATGCTAAGATAACACAGCAATATCCAGTAAATAATACAACTTAYAACTATTTAAAAATTCAATATAAAAGTCACTTGCTGTCCTAGCTTAGATAAGCACAGAGAAATATTTCAGCCTGTGCTGGCAGACTATGTTTGCAGATTCATTAACAGGTAAGATATGGCAATCGCTACTGTTAACTTTTTTGTGTAGTAACACTTTAATCCTTATCCTCTCTGATTTTTCCTGTGTGTGGAATGATGCAGCTCTCCTTTGGGAAAGTAAATGTCCRGCAGCAGGAGAGCGCTCACTTGCTGGGCAGCACGAGTGGTCCATTCCTGCTGGCCTCCTCCTGCTGCACATGGCTCTGCCTTCTGCGACACGGCTGAGCATACTTCGAAATCCGTGTGTCCCAAATCCTGCAGGTACTGGTAGAGTGGGGAATTCTGAAAGAGAGTTAAAAAAGAAAATGTAAAAAAAAAGGACAAAGGCGAAGGACATTTCCTGGAAGGAGCCATTATGACTACAGCATGCAGAATCACAGTCAAACTACACTTTCACTGGTGAAGGATCCAAGAAAACACACAATGACAAGTAAATAGCAGGAAAACAACATAATAACAGCAAAACCCCCAAACTTTTGCTTTAAATATATCTCTTCAGTTTTCTCCTGACCATAATGAAGCRTGGTGCAATAGAGTCAATTAAGAAGACAACATGATGGGAAATAAGTGTGCAGTCACCTAGCGTACAACACCTGAGTAGTTTGTGCAACTACTACAAGTTTGTGCCACTACTGCAAGCAAGTACAACCCAGAGTACAAACACCTCAGCAGTTTGTGCTTTGTCTGCCGAAACAAACTTTAAARCCGAAGCACCTCTCAAACTCGAACGGGCCAAGCCTCAGCGCGACCCGACTAGGCACCCRCAGAGTGTTTTACAGCAACGAACAAACACGAATTAGGGAATGGTTGCTCCGAGGCACCGACGTCAGTGTTGACTCTTCTCGCAACACAGCACTGCAAGTATTTAAAAATTACTACAAGTTGTAAGCAAACCTCCTACTTTATGAAAAGTCCTTCATTAAAAGTTATAAGAGAAARCACAGAATCACAGGGGAGCGTGCTTTTGTTTTTAGATATTTATCTACTTAAAAATTTACATTTTCTTGTTTATTTAGTTGTTTGTTTATTATTTTCTTTATGTTTTTAGATATTTACCTACTTAAACATTCACATTTTCTTGTTTCATGTGTAGCAMGTATCAAAGATTTATTTAACTGTGGTTTATTTGTTTGCATTCACACATGTGACCACACCTAGATAAATTCAGTGGAAAGGATATTTTGGGGATCTCTAGTTAATGCTCAGGGGCCTGTGGACATTTTGCTTTTAAGAAACTCTCTCAGCCGTAAGTCTCAAACAGTGTAGGTAGCTAGGGATTCATTCTGACCTCTGAAAAAGCTTTTTTACACAACGCACAGGAGAGCACACAAACACCAATGAACTGCGCAGGAAGGAAAACAGAACCGCGCTTTGAGAAATACAACGTGCCATCAATCATAAGGAAAAGGAAAGTTTCCCAGCAACGCTGCACAGCTACAAAGCCAGACCTCCCCTGCGGAGGTCCACAGACACCCTCAGCAACTGCTGCTGCTCCACGGAGCTGCAACCGTCCCGCTAACGGGCAGTAGCTGCTGCTGCTGCGGCTCTGCCTGCAGCAGACGAGGCACAGCCACRCGGCCCGAGTGTGCAAGAACACAGTCAGTCTGAAATGACTTCCTGCCACCTAATACAGCTTGGAAGAAATCACTGATTCCAGCTGAACAAATGAAATCATCAGTGATAGGGTGTATTTTTTTTCTTTTAACCCAACCTCCAAAGTGCTATTTCAATCACTCTTTCCTATTTAAAGCAAACAAATGCACAGGTTTGCATGCTGTTCACTTGCTCACAACAGAGTCAGCATCCACTCACTACCTGAAACTCACACATTCAGATCAACCCACAGCTCTGCTGTGCAGGTACAGACCATCCCCCTCATCTGCAATGAAAATGACTGTGCAAGGCACTCAGACAGGTAAGTGACTCATTTCCTTGTGGGAATTTTTCCACTGTGGCACCTCAATTCTTTTTTTTTCCYTYYTTTTTTTTTTTCCCCTCCAATACTCTTCCTCTACATTTAGGCACTTTTTCAAGTGCACACATATTCCATAAAACAGTAAGCTGTTCTGGAATTTCTTTTTTCTCTATAAGAAGAGCAGTCCACTCTGGATTACTTTATTAAGATGGAAAAGAAAACATAATGGACTAGAATACAGTATTTCTTGTAGTTAAGGCAATGTTAAATTACCATATTAACTTCAGCAAAAAACCTAGCCTGGAATTCCAAAGGATGTGCATAATCTTGTCTTTGCAGAATGGCTGGGGGGTGTCAGCACACCGGGAACAGCTCWGACCTGCCCACACGAGGGACACTTAGGGTTGCACAGAGGTTTCAGTCAGAACCAGCCAGAACGATTCCTGCTTAGACAAAAACATGCAAAAAATCCAGCAAGTGAGACGGGAATGTGTTCTTCAAAAGCACAGCTCTGAGGCTCGCTCCTGGCAGCACTCAAAGGGAAGCGCGCCCGGGCTCTCGGAAAACTGCCCCGGGAGGGCTGGGACCTCCCCGGCCCTTGCTACAGGACTTAGCTGCCTCCCTCGTCAGCCCGCAGCAAGCTCAGCTTCCCCAGCTCCCTCAGCCAYGTGCACATTAATATTTCCCTGTTATAGTTAGCAGGGTAACACTAGAACACCAGTATCACTGAGCAGCTCTGCATGCTCGGGGAGTTGTGCTGGGCATCACAGTGGCTGAGGTTGGAAGCGACCTCTGGAGACACCCTAGTCCAGCTCCCCTGCACAAGCAGCATCCCCTTGAGCACATGGCACTGGTCACGTTCAGGCAGGTTAGTATCACCAGARCGGGAGACTCCACAACCTCTCCGGGCAGCCTGTTCCAGTGCCCAGTCACCCCCACATAGAAGAAGTTTCTCTTCACGTTCAAGCAGAATTTCCCGTGTTTCAGTCTGTGCCTGTAGCCTCTTGTCCTATCACTGGGCACCACTGAAAGTAGTCTGGCCTCGTCCTCTTGACACCAGCCCTTAAGATATTGGTACACACTGATGAGATGCCCCYTCAGTCTTCCCTTCTCCAGGCTGAACAGGCCCAACTCTCACACTCTTTCCTAATCCTTTMCAGTTTCCTAATCATCTTCAGAGCCCTTCACTGGACTTGCTCCATTAACTCCTCGTCCCTCTGGTACTGTGGAGCCAAAACCAGACATAGTGCTCCAGACATGGCCTCACCCGGGCYGAGATGGGGTGAGGATCACCCCACTCCCTTGACCTGCAGGATATGCATCCCAGGATATCACTGGCCTCCTTGGCCACCAGGGCCCGTTGCTGGCTCATGGTTAATATGTTGTCCACCAGAATTCCCATGTCCTTCTCTGTAGAGCTGCTCTCCAGCAGGTCAACCGCCAACATGCACTGGTGCAGGACCCTGCACTTGCCTTTGCAGACCTTCATGAAGTTCCCCTCTGCCCAACTTCAGCCTGTCTGTGTCTCTCAACGCTAGCCCAGGTGGCTGGTGTATCAGTCACTTCCCCCCGTTTTGTAGCATCAGAGAGTTTGCTGAGGTTCCTTTCTGTCCCTTCATCCAGGTCACTGATGAGTTGAAGAAGACTGGACCCCTGGGGGACAGAGCTAGCTACAGGCCTCCAACTAGACTGCCCTGCTCATTGCAACCCTCTGGGCTCTGCCAACACGCCAATTCTCAGTCCACCAATCACCCAGGATGTTACGGGAGACACTCCTGAAAGCTTTGCTGAAGTCAAGGCAGACAAATTCACTGATCTCCCTTCACCTACTCACTCAGCCGTTCCATTACAGAAGACTGTAAGCTTGGTTAAGTATGATATTCCTTTGGTGAATCCATGCTGACTACTCCTGATTATCCTTAGATACTTGCAGAGATGACATCGAGGATGAGCCTCTCCATCACCTTCCCAGGGATGGAGGTGAGGCTGACTGGCTTGTAGCTTGTACCTGTGTTGTYTTTCCAGCAGGTTATCAGGATGGATGAAGTGCCCGCCATGAGGATCAGGGCTGGTGATCACAAGGCTACTTCCAGCTGCCTGTAGAAGGCCTCTCTCTTCCTGATTAGGTGGCTCATACACCCACAGCAGTTTCTGCCGTCTTAGTCTGCCCTTCAATCCTTACTCATAAGCTCCTGACTCACTTCATATCCAGTCCTAGGCACAGCTTAATACATTCCAATTTCTCTCCACATTAAGACCATCTCTGGCACTCTGCCTTCCTGGCCTGAACCAGGAATCTCAAAACCTCAAAAACAGGTTGCAAAACARAAAGTTTTAAGCCTCTTCCACCTCAGTAAGCTGAAAATCCTGCTTTTTACTTTTTTTGCTGTCTCCAGTTAATGAATGTCACCTTGATCACACTTGTTACAAGCAAAGCCAGCATCATTTGAYATGAGCAGCCTTGTCTTTATTGGGGTATGCCTAAATGCAGACAGCTGGCAAAATAACTCAAATATTCCAAGGAGTTTTTCCACTCTCATCTCTGGGTGAAAATCCCTGCTTTTGAGGCACATGGACTCTGCTTTAGCCAATTGGCTAAAAAGGCTACAAAGAAAACATCTTGTCACCCAAATGATGCTAGAGAAGCTGGTGTCAGTAACAGCTGTTTGCTGTGAAAACAGCGTAAAATAATTTCTCCTTTGGGGTCACTGCAGAAGGCACAAGCAGCTGCTGGCTCATCCTTCAGGTTCTCAGGGGACACCTCCTAAAATCCCAAATTCTAGAAAATTCTAAATTTCCCCAAGGTGGGTATGGCTACTGGGCCCGGTGCAAGCAAGCACCAACCAACCAACAAGAAAGGTGACCTGGGTGTTGGTTATCGAGCCAAGACCACGGCAGAGCAAATCTTCAGCATGCAAAGCAAGCTGCTTGCATCCTTGGAGAGAGAAAAAACAAGACCATCTATTCTAATGGTGTGAAGTCAGAGAGAGCTTTTTTTTTWWAAAAAAGTTGATCAACAAARCTGGCAAAATGTTGTTTAGATTGATACTATTTTCCACAGAGCAACAGAAGAGAGAGTGGAAGAAAATGTAAGACTCCAGCCACTAAGGACACACAGAAGTAGATCAAGTTCTAAGTGACGTATTTACCAAGTGAAACATCACATAATGTAATTTTTCCCTCTTATTGGGTTTCTGGCAACATCAAAACATTGCAGCTAGCTGTAATTAGTGTGTTTTCCACTGTAAGGAAATATTCTAGATGCACTGTGTCCTTGAATGCTAATGAAATTTCAGCCCTCAGCTATGATAAAGGATTTTATTAGCTCTCTACTACGTTACCTTGTAATCAGGGTAAAATATAGGTACTCTACTAGGTTTTACATAAATTGCTTTTGAGTAAATTTATAGAGTCTCCATTTTGGATAGATTTGCAATTTTTATTACTGCTGGGAACTGGAAATCAGTTTTCTGATTATTAGCTGGAAATCCAGCTGATTATTAGCTGGAAAACAGGACTAGATTAAGATTTAACTCAGATGGCAATCACGTGTTCCTTCAAATAGAGAAGCATCTTCCTTGAGTTGCTTGGGGAAGTATTCCGGCATCCAGCTTTACATTTTGCGCATTCCCAAAGCTTCATCATATTCCTCTGCAATTAGAAGTATCACTGATGGCATGCATTAGCTTACATACACATAGTCTTTATTTTATTTATGTATATTATCAAGTACTGCTTGATCTTAAATGCTGCTGACAAGCCCATCGCTTGCAAAGCTGTATGGTCTGTATAACTCACCAAGCATCTTTAACAGTTCACAGCAAATTTATACTGTGACATATTTGAAGTAGGCAATGSCTAGAAAATTCAGTTAGAAAAACAGCATATATTTCCTGTGATTATTTACACAAAATCTGCAATAATGTCAGAAAGTAAAAATATTAATTGCATAACTTTGCAATTAGAATATGATCCCATCACAAAGATGTTATCCAATGCACTGCTTGTTTCAATACAAGAGACAGAAGTATTATACTTAATGCTTGCAGATTTTCATCCTTACAAGCCTTTTAAAGCAATAATTCTCACAATGTGTCCCACAAATTTAGGTTTGAATTTCTAGCTTAAGTCCTTAGCAAAACTTCTCACTCTCARCTGCCTTTCCCCTCAAAAAACACCACAGACCTATTCTCACAAAYGCACTTTCAACTGTGAGAAAAAAAATCCTTCGTTTTGTTTCAGCAGTACTGTCAGGCTCACCTGCTTTCACCCGCAAATGCCACGCTASCATTAAGCAATCTGCTCCTTAGCTAGGGAAAATGGGAAGGATCAGCTCTTTTTATTCCTAATTGTCCCTGCCTGAATTTCATATATTACCTCTTTGGTTTTTTTGATAGTCCAAGAGCCAGCATTACATAGACAATCAGGCATATTTTATATCGTGTGGCTTGTGAGATTTGTGTGCTGCGAATGGAAAACAACTTCAGGACAACTAAAAGGTAAAACACTACTGTACCTCTGTGCACGCCTTACAGATTAGAGAAGACAAATCTCATTAATAAGCAAACCATTAGCATACGGTATAGTGATGGGGTCTGATGTACTAACCAGGAACTTACTTTCTGAAAATTTAAATAATCTTTTTTTTTCTTTTTCTCTAGCGATCCATTAAAAACGACCAACAGAAAAGCACTCACCCTTCCATGTTACTTCACTACCACTGGCCATGCTGCAAAGCCATTCAGTTGTAACTAAACACGTTTGGTATACATTTAGATAAACTCCTATTTCCAGAATTCAGAAAAGAAATCCCTTCCTTCCTTCCTTCCTTCCTTATCCTAGGATTAAAGGACAGCCCACTACAATTAGCTTTCCTCCTTATCCCTTCCCCAATGCTAATTTTTAATGCCAGTTGTCAACACAGAACTCACTGGGTTAAAATAAACAAACAAATAAATAATTTTTGAACAAAACAGAACTCCTGCACCTAAACTGAACAACAAATATCTTGTCTGTAACTCCAACAAGCCTATAGTTAAAAAAAAATACAAAAACTAAGCCAKGTACTAAAAGGAAAAGATACTGGCACATACATGACAAGCTCCAGTGCTACACGATGGGGAGCTGGTTACGGCAGAGAGCGCCTYAGTTTCAGGACAAGCTCACTTTTGCCTGCCACCTGCTTACGTGTTTAATCCATGGCAGCCTCACCAGCACGGAGATTGCACTTCAATATCTGAGGTGTTTTATGTGTATGTATATGAGGAGAAAAACCTTTGTAACTGCAAGACTAGAGCGCTGTATGCTCCGGTAGCAGCTACAGAGCAAGCCACACCCCAAGCGTTTTTGCTGCTGCATCATTTAGGGAATGACGCAGGATTTTCCTGAGCAGTGGGTGCTTCCCACACCCAACTTTCTCTGCTATCACAAAATTTACTACCTTGCAAACCCTGCTCTAGTTTCCAGCCACGGCTAACTGAGCAGATCCACTGTAAAAGAGGTATTTAATGCTCCTGCACTCACTAAGAGGTTTAAGGAGCTTCTCTTCTCAAAACACTGAAATGTTTTGGGGTTTTTTTTTCCCAAGCTGATGGTGTTAATGTGTCAAGAATACCGGGCAAGCTTAAATTGCTTCTAAAATAGTGACAAGTTATTAATTTGCAGCTTAAAAAAAAAAAAAAAAAGGCATTTTTACCCTAGTGACAGCTAAAATACATTTAACAGGTGGCTAAACTCAGAAGGAAACAAACACCATTGAAACCTTCCACTCTCTCCCTCCAAAACCTTAAAAAGACCTTTAGAAGTCGAGGCAAAACTTACGGAGAGCGCGATCTTTGTCTCCTGGAGGAGGGCATTCCACTTGTCCCTTCGGCACTGCTCCCAGGCGCCCGAGAGCCCCTCTCCCACCTCCCCGTGTCCCTCCAGGCCGGGCCCTGCCGCAGCAGCAGCAGCAGCAGCAGCAGTCGCTGTGGTTGCACCTGCGCTCCCGCACAGTCGCATTTTCCTGACGGCATCGGCGCAGGCAGCCGGAAACTTCCCAGGACTGTGCGATTCCTCCTGACTAACGCGCCTTTATAACTGGGGGAAGGGAGGAAGGGGATGACAGCTTGCCAGAGGCTTTTAAAAAGATACTGCTGGAAGGAATTGCTGCTCGTCGATATGAGATGAAGCCGTTAATGACACTTTCCAGGCAAGGGTATTTACAAGCCGTGGTCACATTCTGCTGGCTGCAGCCGCCTCCTCCTTGAGGTGACGGCAACGCAGCCAATGGCCGGCCCGGCTAAGATTAGAGCGTGACTTAAGGCTGGGCTGGAGGCCACCAGGACTCCTGCTCCGCTGTGACCATGATGACAGCGCAGAGCACCGGAGCACTGGGGATTCAGCAGCAGCCCRGGAGCTACTTGGAGGCCACTGATCTATTGCTGTTCCTGTAAATCTTGTGATGTGCTGCCCAGGCTCTGAAACTCAGTAGCAGGGAGAGCTTCGGACTATCTCCAAAGGGAGCGGGGGGGAAAAGCTGAGCAGACTTTTCTGACAAAAGCAGCTGAAAACCTGAGCGTACAAGTGGACGACGTACCTTCAGTGGAGGCGAGGGGAAGGGGCACCGCTGGCCTGCCACAACATCTGCACCCGGAGCTGCTGGTGGGAAGGCGCTCACCCCACAGCTCGCTGCGCTCCACCAACACAGAAGCCCTGTTTGTTTTATACGACCTACCAGAAACTCACATATTTTAGCCTTCATTTACATTCAAAATGCATTAATTTCATTAATTTATTTCCTTGGTAAACTAATTACATGTCTACTAAAACATTCTGGAAATCTCTTTAAAGCCACAGCTCTGAGGAATTAACATTTTTATCTATTGTAAGTTGTATTAATTCTGACCCCTAATGATAACAATTTACAAGTAAATGCACTGACTGAATTGCAAAACACCCCAGAAACAAGAGACAGTTATGTTGTGAAGATCAAATGGAAAAGTACAGGGATTATATTTTATTCAGGTGTCTCAAGGAAGTAGGTTCTTGATTTGAATTTGCAAGAACATTAAGGCAATATTAAGACTCTCATAAATGCAACCCGAAGTGGTTAATGCAGAGGAGGATTCCCAAACCAACAGTCCTCAAAGATTTACTGTGGGTCATCATGTATGTTAGTCTATGTTAAGAATAATAAAGGCAATATGGGTTCACACATCTTTTGARAATTACTGGAACACAGAAATGAAGTTTAACAGAATTTCTAGCAAAAGGTTGAAATGATCCAATTTGAAAAATAGTCTTGTAATCCACTACAGCAATACTCATGAAGAAGACAACCGACTCACTACAAGCACACAAAGCACCTGTATGATACGGCAGAACGTTTCACTGGGCGACAAGCAGCGTGCTGCCCAGCGCCAGCGTGCACAGTTCCAGGTGTCATTCCAGGTGTCAGCGASCCGGAGGCACCGCACCAAGTCCCAATAAAACTGCCTAAGTCACCTTGAGAGAGAGAGGCCGAGCGATGGTATCGCTGGCCCTTTCCAGAGGGCAGGAGAGGAGTCTTGGACCAACTGAAAAGCAGTTTATATAACACTGCTTCCAGGTCTTCCTACACTTTATTCACTGATGAAAAAAAAGAGCATCTTTCCTCAAGAGTCTGAATGTTTATCTGCCAGCACTGATAAGGGGCACAGTTTGGAAGCAAGTTATTTTTCTAAAACTGACACGTTTTAGTGTCACGTGCTACGTTTAGTGCTACGTTTCCTTCCTAATCTTCCTGCCAATTTTTGTAGTTCACAGTGATGCTACACGGTATTTTAAATATGGGTTGTGGAATCTTTGACCTTAATAGTAGGTATTTATGGCCCAGACAATATCCTTTGAATATGTTTGGACAACATGTAGCTCAAAAATATCTGATGAGCTTATACCGTCTCCAACAACCAAAAGATTGACTGTTTTAAGCTTGTAGTTTATTTTCTTGAGAGAATCACCTGCCTTCCCGTAAGGTGCTGGAAAGCGCCGCCGCTCCTGCCTTCCTCTGGAGCTGTGAGCGAGGCCGTTTACGAGCCCTTCAGGGGCTCTGAGGTTGCAGTGTGAAGCACACACACGTATCCCCAGGCAGCAGTTACATGCTCAATTGAATCTGACATTACGAGTGGCTGCTGTACCATTTAGGTGCTCTGGTGGGTAATATTTATACAGCCAAGCGGTGAGATGCAAGAAGAAACTCATTTGCTTGGGGAAAGGCAAAAAAAAAAAAAAAAAGAAAGAAAGAAAAAATCTTTTTTCCCCCTCTTAGCCAGGCTAGTTTACAGTCAGATCAGTCTCCTGGGCCGGCTCAAGGCTTCCTGCAAATGCTCATGCCAGGGGAAGGAGGGTGGATGGAGCAGCTAAAGGGAAGGGAAGCGCAAACCCCTCTCCTGGAAGGAGCCTGTGCTGGAGGCCGTCAAAACACAGCCTGCAGCACAGCCCACCAAAACAGCAGCTGAGGTGCACCTTTGCAAGAAATGAGGACTTAAAAATGACTTTATTTCATCCATATATATAAAAAAGAGCACTACTTCTTTATTTCACACAACATTTGGTAAGAAGAACCCAGATGAAGGAGCATTATGGATGCTACCATAGATGCTACAGATTTCAATGCCCTATTTCCAGCTCTTTTTTTTCATAATTTACAACCTCGAGACATTAACTTTCATACTATACCATTTTCACATCTGACACTTATCAAAATCACAATTTGGGGAGTCCTAAAGTTTATGGGTTTGAATGGACATAACACTATTTTCAACAGAACAAGGTTTCTGATGTTAGGTTTTCTGGTTTAGTCTGGTTTTGTTTGTTTGTTTATATAGTTAAACAAAATAATGATTCTAGCATTGCTTCATTTGGGTGTAGAAAGCACTTAAGAAAATAAACATCACTGTGTGTTTTGATAAAAGTTAATTTTGGTTTGAAAGGATTCAAAAGCGGATGTGCTTATCTCAATTTGGTGAKGGATTGAGCATCAATATTCTGAGATCAAAAAAATACCCTGTTTTAGATGTTTTTGGCTAGTGTAGGTATGCAGAGAACACGTATTCTAAGGATGTTTYGAATACAGCTTGTTTTATGCTGCGAACCAGTAGTGCCTTTGGCTGGCATCCCTGTTAAACCCTGCAGAAAGCCCAGAGCACCCTGCTAGCATATACACTCTCCAGGCCGCTCGGCACCAAGCAGCATCTTGGCTCGTTGCTACATATGCAGCAAGATGCATCTTTTTGAACCTATTACATCTGCCCACACTATAAAGTTGCCATTTATTTCCAAAGGGCTTTTGTCCTGTGCCATGTCTAAACAGATCCCACCATTTGGTGCCACCTCTGCTGACCCCACAGTGCTTCCTCCCTCCCTCTTGCAGGAGGGAGTCTCTCCTGCATCTCTCACTATCTTCAGGACCAATTTCTCATGATATTTTTTTCTATTTCAGCAAACAAAGAACGCAGCTCACGTCCCTCCTGGCGACAAAGAGTAGTTTCATCTTTATTGGGTGGTATCCCCATCAGGAGAATGAGTATATGACTGCTTGAGAAAGGGCTGGCTATGAAATGCAGCACCTCACACACATTCAGGATCTTTGTTCTCGCTCTCTGGGTTTCGGCTCATCTAGGTTTGATAAACTTTGTTCAATACATGATAAAATTTTGCATTCATACATGAGATTTTGAATCTCACTGCACCTACCCCCAGCTTATTTTATTTTTTATATACATATTAGTATTACTTCCGAGATCTAGTGCAGCCAGGGAAGCAAAGGAAACTTATTTCGGGCATTTGGTGTTTGTCTCCCATTAAAGAAACGGGCGACAAGAAATAATGTTGGATGTTAGGAAAGACCTACATATTTTTCCGTCTGCGAATCCTAAAGGGCCAAAAAGCACGAATGCTTACTTTAAAAAGTTTGGAGTCCTAGTGCTGATCACAGCATTTCCTGTAGATCTGCAAGAAARGTAAGATTCAGCAGGGCCCCGGCAGCCTGTGCCGGGACCCTTGCCTAACATTCGCTTCTCTTGGCACTGAGAGTGCACTAAAACCCTACCTGAAGGGCACCTGCACACAGCTGTTATTGGCAAGGTCCCGGGAATGAACTGCAAAATACAATGTCTCCAGGGAGGAAAGTTTTCTGTTCCTAAAACATAATGACATTTTTAATGCAAATTTAGTGATCCCACACTCAAAAAAAGATACAGTTCTATGAATAACAGGGACTGTAAGTGAGCACTTGCACCACCATTCAATCCACTTACATCASTGACATGCTGCTATCCTGAAAAAGCTTTCCAAGAATTATGCTTTACCCTAGGAAAGAGGAACGATAGCGATTCAGAGAGAAGAAAACAAATGCCAACTTTTCTAGGAGGCTTTTTTGCTTGACACCTATTCAGASCTCTGATTAACCTGGATATTAAAAGCTACTGAATGATGCAACAGCTCCCTTAGCGAGGAGCAGAGGGAGAATAAAATAAGATCTGAATAATACTTTTTCATGGAGATGCAGCAGATTATGGCATGCCTTTGGGTGGCAATCAAAAGTTATTTGTCAAATATACTTTAGTATGCATAAGAGCAAACAATTTTTTCTCCTTATTGAATACACTTCAAAAGATTCTTAAAAATGTTTTTCCACTATAATGCAATTTATTTGGTTATGCACTTTGAACAGCAGGAACAGTAAAACACTTCCTAATTATTTTTCATCATTTAAATTACAACATTTGGAGAGAAATGTTTAAGACAGTGGCAATGAAATTAATTCATTATCGTATTTYATGTAATATTACAAGCAAGGATTTAAATTTCACCATATCTGAAAGAACCCTTAAAAATCTAAGGCAACTGCAATTTCACACTGTGGTGTCAAAACTTGGGGGTTTTGTTTTTTGCGTTTTTTTGTTTGTTTTTGTTTCAAGGCGGGGACTGACAAGCAGTTCTGGGAAATGTTGTATTGATTTCYTAACAGTGAGGGTGAC